TTTCTTCGGGCCTTCCTGAAGAACCTCTTAGAGGCCTCTTGGGTCGTCTGTGAGGCCTCTAGATGCCTCTTGGGCAGTGTGGGGTAATATTGCAGCCGCCTTAGGCCGTCTTATTTACATACCTATACGACCACCCTTCGGGTGATAAGGAGGTTCGGGGGGGAGGAACCAACGTCTCACTCGATCGGTCTCACTATCGATCTCACTATCGATCTCACGATCGTCTCGCTCGATCGATCTCACTCGGTCGATCTCACCCGATTTATTGCATTCGATCGATCTCACAATCGATCGCACTATCGATCTCACAATCGATCTCACTATCGATCTCACAATCGATCTCACATTCGGTCTCACTATCGATCTCACTATCGATATCAACATCGATCTCATAATCAACATCATCATCATCATCATCAACAGCAACATCATCGTCATCAACATCATCATCATCATCATCATCATCATCATCGGGACACCATCATCATCACCATCATCATCAACATCATCATCATCAATTTCCTCATCATCATCGGGGCACCATCATCATCGTCTTCATCATCATAATGTCATCATCATTTCATCATCATCAACATCATCATGATCGTCAGCATTATCATCATCGGGACACCAGCATCATCATCAGCAACATCATGATCATCATCGGGACACCATCATCATCACCACCATCACCATCATCATCATCAACATCGTCAAAATCGTCATCATCATCATCGGGATACCATCATCATCACCACCATCACCATCATCATCATCATCATCATCCACATCATCGACATCATTATCATCATCATCATTAGCATCACTATCATCATCAACATCATCATCAACATCATCATCATCATCATCATCATCATCATCATCATCATCATCATCATCATCATCATCATCATCATCATCATCGGGACACCTACGGGACACCAGCGGGACCCCGGCGGGACACCGCGGGCCACCGGCCCCCGGAAAGGAATCATGGTCCGGCCGCGCCTCAGCCGGAGGCGGGACACCGGCGGGACACCGCGGGCCACCGGCCCCCAGAAAGGAATCATTTGGTCTGGCCGCGCCTCAGCTGGAGGAGAATTTCTGCTCGCCCGCCCACGCAGCTTCGCCTCGCCCGCACGCACGGCACGCACGAACACGAAACCGAAACCGATTTCCCTGTAGGGGGGCTCTCCGTTCCACTTCGATCTCACCCCCTCACCTCCGACTGGGCCGTCTATAGGAGACATCCGACGACCATTGTGGGCCTGAGAGCTATCTCGGCAATTTTGGAGGCATATTGAAGCCCATCTTGGACCAGCTTGGCCGTTTGAGCGGCCACCTGGGGCCGTCTTGGGGCCCTGCTTGGGCCGTCTTGGGGGCCTCTTGGGCCGTCATGGGACCATTTTGAAGACCTCTTGCGCGCTCTTGGGGCGATCTTTGAGGCCTCTCGGGCTGTCTTGGTCCGTCGGAAGGCCGACAAAAGCAAATGTCAAAGTCCTTATGATTTTGACGCCTTCGGGCCTTCCTGGAGAATCTCTTGGAGGCTTCTTGGGCCATTTTGACGGCGTCAGGGGGCCTCTTGGGCAGTCTAAAATCATCTTGCAGCCACTTCAGGCCGTCTTGCTTACATGTTGGTTGGGCCGGACTCATCAGGCGACCATTCTTGGGCTCTCCTGGGCCCACCTGGGCCGTCTTGGAGGCCCTTTTGGCCACTCTGGAGGCCGTCTTGGGGGGGTCATCTTTGAGAGGGGAGGTCCAGGAAGGGCGCGTCCTTCCAGGCGGCCGGCGCGCTGGGCCGAGGCCCCCGGGGGGAGCTCTAAAAAAATCAAGCAGTGGCGAAGCGTCCTGGCTCGCCTATAGCCCTACCAAACAATGTTCTAAGAACTTGTCGTGGTTCCCACGAAATTTCCTTAGAACATTTGTGGGGGAGTCTGTCTTGTTTTACCACATCGGGTTTATGTTCTAAGAACATTGTTTTTGTCATTCGAACAGCTTTGGGTTCTAAGAACATTTCGTGGTAGGACTATAAGAATGCCGGGACGGTCGGTCCCTGCTCAAAAAAATATTCGGCACGCCAGGCACTTTTTTGTGAAAAATCAGCTGTGGCGGAGAGCGCGCGTAGTTTTGCGATGCGCCCGCCGGGAGAAGTGACAAGGGGGAGTGTGATGGGGGCCCCTGACGACCCAGATGACGGAAGGCGTGCGTGGCGTGCGATCCGCTGGCCGCGGGGAATGAAACAAGATGGAATTCGAGGTGAGCGTCAGCCGGAGGCCCAAGTGGCAAGAGTTTCTTCTTGAGAGGCCTCCACAGGCTTCAAGGTAGCCCAAGATGGTCCACGATGGCCTCCAAGACCGGCTCCACAGGGATGACGGAAAGAGCGAGGTACGAGCGAAAGAAGTTGAGTTGGGGCGAAGCCCTCTAAGGAGGGGTCCAGGGGAGGGTCGAGGGCCGGGAGGATCGGTGCAAATGGGGCCGCTTCCCTCGTGTTTTTGTTCAAATGAAGTGGCTCCCAGGCGGCTCCCATGGCCAGAGAGCGCCAAGACGGCACAAATAGGCCCCAAAACAGCCGCAGAGGGCCCCAAGACAGCCCCAAGAGAGCTCTAGCTGGCCTCCAGACGGTCCAAGAGAGCCTTGAGACGGCTCCAGAGGCCCTCAAGAGGGCCCCCGAGAGGGCCTCTGGAGGCCAAAAACATTGATTTCCCAATGGTTTTTGTATGTGTTTCGGGTTCTCCCAAAAACCGTCCCAAGACGGCCCAGGCTCCCAAGACGGCCCGAGCCCCCCAGAGAGCCCAAGAGGGCGCAAGGCCTCCGAGACGCCCCGAGACGGCCCAAAAAGGCTTCCAAAAGAGCCCCAAGAAGCCCCAGGTGATCGTTTTTTCTTCGCATTGTTTTGCCGATCGGCGTGGGACCTCGCAACCCCCCTCCCCCCCCCCATGGAGTGGATGGATCTTGGCTGCTTTTGGCGCCTGCTGGGAGCAGGTGGAGCACCTCGGACGAACTGCTGCAAACAGTCGCAGTAAGCAGAGGTCCGGAGCCGGACCCCTCCCTCCCCCCTCCCCCCCTTGCCGCCCAATGTCGATACGCCGAAAAAATCTCACCAGAGACACCAAGTAACACCACGGCTCCCAACAGCGAGAGGTGACCTGACAAGCTCCTAACACCAAGGCTGCCCAGAGCCCTGTGACGTAGATAGCTCGTAATAGCAAGGCTCCCAGAGCGATCGGCGCCCCAGAACGGCCCGAGAGGACCCTCAAAGGGCCCAACAGGGCCCCAACAGAACCTCGTAAAGGCCCAGAGACGCCAAGCTCGTAATACCAGGGCTCCCCAGTTCGAGCGGTGACGTAAAAAGTCCTGAGCACCGAGGACATCAAGGATCCCCAGAGCCCATAGTGACGTAACAAGCTCTTAACACCGAGGCTCCCAATAGCGAACGGTGACGTCACAAGCTCTGAGCACCAACGTTCTCAATGACGAGCGGTGACGACAAGAGGTCTGAACACCAAGGCTCCCAAAAGCCCATAGTGACGTGACAAGATCTTAACTTCAAGGCTCCCAAGAGCGAGCAGTGACGTTACAAGCCCTTAACACCAATGCTCCCAATAGCGAGCGGTGATGCAAACAACTCTTAACACCGAGGCGCCCAAGAGCGAACGGTGCCAGAAGCCAACTCGGGCAAGTTCCTGAATCGGTTTTTCCGTTTCCGTGCCAGCCCATGTCGAACGGTTTTCGCTTTATCGCGCCACCATGTTTGAGTTGTGAGTCTGAGGCCTTTTGGATATTCGTGGGATCTGGTCGATTGGCCTTCTGGAGGTAGTGTTGAGGCCTCGGGGGGCTGTTTGGAGGCCTCTGGCCTCAGGGGCCTCTTTGGTACCTCGTGGGGGCCTCTTGAAGGCCTGGTGGGGCCTCTTCGGGGCCTCTTGGGGCCTCCTGTGTGCCTCGTGGGGCGGGAGGCTCGGAGTTTCGGTTCGTGTTCCCCTTCTTGGGTCCCTTTGGGGGCCCCTGGGGCTGTCTTGGAGCGGCCTTGGGGGCCTCTAGAGACGCCTTGGAGCTGCAGAAACTCGAAAAGTGGATAACCCCCCAAAACACGACAAACATAGCAAGTCCATGAATTTGGCCTGTCGGGTTCCTCGTGGGAAGGCTCCTCTTGGGGCGTCTCGAAGGCCTCTTGGACCGTTTTCGGGGCCATCATGGGCGTCTTGGCGCGATCGTGCGGCGATTCGGGGCACCCCTGGACCGCCTGAGCGGCCTTTCGGGGTCATCTCGGCTCATCTCGAGGCCCGTGGGGGGCCGAGAAAGTCATGCGCCAAGACTCGAAGCGCCTCAGGAGGTACGCGCCACGCCCCAAGTGATCGGGCAATTTCGGGTCCGCCCCCCTCAAAGAATCTTCAGGATTGAGGACTGAGGCTCAAGGGATTAGGCCAAGGACCTGATGATACTCCTACTGGTGCCTCAAGGCACGGTGGCGGATTACAGCACGGTTTCTTATCCCCCCGGACTACAAGTACCCCCCCCGGACTACAAGTACCCCCCCCGGACTATAGGTACCCCCCCGGACTACAGGTACCCCAAAACTATTGAGGGACACAGAGTACCGTATCAGCGTACGTGAAAGATGTGTTCAGTGTGCCTTAGGTGGTTTGTATTCTGGCCGAGGCAGTCGTGTTCTGAGGCATTGGTTGTACGTTTTAAGAACATGGTTGGAATGAGTCTGCCATCCTTTCGTTCTAAGAGCACTTCGATCTAGGACTGTAGGAATACCAGGACGGTCGTTCCTCGCTGGCGTAACAGGGGGTCTGGGGCTAGGCGACCCCTTCCGATCCCCATCTGGCTGACCCCGGGTCTGCGAGCTACGCCGAACCGACCCCCGCGCCGTCCCCGCCTTTCGCTGACCCCGACTGGGGAGCCGACATGCGTCTGACCAGCCAGGGTGTTCGCGACGTGGCCCCGGCTGGCCCAGGCTGACGCTGATTGACCCGGCTTATGAGCGCGTCCCCGAGGCGAGTGGCGCGCCCTGCAGTTGGCGATCGAGGTCCACAGGAGGTAGTTACACACCACCCCCACACCTCCCCTGAGATCCTGGCGTCTCAATTCTGTTCGAGCCAGACGTTTTCGCTTGGTTCCGTGCCCCACACTCACAAATCGATTCGGCTCGAAAAATGCACCTGAAAGATGGGGACCGGGGCTCTTTGGGTTTGAATTTTTCACTGTGTAGGAATGTGTTGGCCTCGTCGGATCTCCGGATCCTCGCAGCCTCGGACAGGTCGCCTCGGCGGGGGTGGGGGGGGACAGCGTTCGGCTTCCATTGGCGTCATTTCCGGGCCCCAGGGCCGTCAAAAGCCGACTCAGGATGAAGGGCCAGTCCAAGGGAAGGGGTATTGATCTCCAGGGGCCCATTGTGGGAGCACCAGCCTTGTCCGAGGCCGGAGTTCACTTGAGACGCTTGCGCCACCCTGCCGACCCATGAGCGCGGGCGCCGCCCGCCTGTGTACCACCACCATCACCGTAAGTTGGAGAGGGGAAGGAGGAAGGGGAGGAGGAGGAGGAGGAGGTGGAGGAGGAGGAGGAGGAGGAAGAAGAGGAGGAGGAGGAGGAGGAGGAGGAAGAAGAGGAGGAGGAGGAGGAGATGCGCACCTTCTGATCTCGTCTGTGTTGTTTGCGGCCTTCCGTCGTGCTGCCTGCGCGAGGCCTTTTGGGGGCCGCGGGGGCGGTGTCTTGGGAGCGCTGTTAGAGCTCCTCGGAGGTCTTCTTGGGGGCCTCTCCGGGACCTGTTTGGCGACTTGGGGCCATCTTGTCGGGGAGGGCTCCCAGGGCCGTCCCAGGATTGCAGAACCCCGAAAAGCTCTTGAGGCCGTCGTGTGGGTCCTGTTGGGGCCTCGCGGCCTCTTGGGCCGTCATGGGGCCATCTTGGATGTTCTGGAGGCCTCTCCAGCGCGTTGGAGCCCTTCTTGAGCCGCCTTAGAGGGCATCCTGGGCACCTGAGAGACCACGGAGGGTGGACTTGGAGTCTGAGGGCCAAGGAGGTGCGTCGGCTGGTGGGCTCTCCCCTCAAGCCCCCATCCCCTCCCCTAGAGCATCAGAAGCCCAATCATCCTGCACGCGCATTTTGCGGACTGCATGATGTGCATGCGTACACTCGTTTTTTCGTCCATCGCGGAGCCAGCGTGTTTCCAGCGCTTCGGCGCCACCGTCGTGCTCTCATAGGGCCGTCCTCTGGGGCGATTATCGACGTCCTGACCTGTCCTGTCCCCCCTCCCTAGAGCGGGATTTTGGACCCGAGGGGAAGGGGAAAGGGAAGGGGGACAGCCAAAGGTTTTCTCACACGCCGCTTTACCTCCGGCAGGCAAGGAGTCGGCGGACACATGTCCACCGCTTGGGGGGCCGATCTTCTGGGGGCCTCCGGGGGCGCTGGATGACCGCGCAAGAAACCACCGCAACCGGAAGTTCTGGACGTTTTTGTGATTCTGTTTTTTGTCGGTTGTTTCTGCGTTGCGGTTGTCGTTGGCAAGTGTTTCTGGTTTGACGCAGCGCTTCCTCGCAAGGTTGCAGCCTGGCCACTCGCAGCGCTTCTCCCGCGGAGATTCCCTCCAATGGGCTTTCTCGAGGCAGTGGACGTGGATATCTGGGCCCCAGGGCCCCCGAAAATACAGGGTCCGGCTTGAGTAAGGAGCACTTACTTTGAAGTCGGGCCTGTCCCCCTACAGGGGGGATTTTCGACGAAAAATAAGAAATACCTCAAAAATAGTCCCCAACAAAAAAAACAAAAATGGTCTGGGGACTATGTTTTGAGTATTTGTTGACCTTTTGGGGGTATTTTTGGGGTATCTTTTATTCTTCGTCGAAAATCTCCTGCACGGGGACAGGCCCGACATAAACTTGCTTCTCACAAGGGGCTCGGGCGTTCCTTGGGCCCGCGTGCGCTCCGCTGCCTGCTTGGCGGCGAGCCCCCCTGGTGTTCCTTCGGACCTCCTGGGCTTAAGTCGGGCCTGCCCCTCTACAGGAGGGATATTCAAAAATAGTTTGAAAAATAGTCTGGGAACTATTTGCCGATTATTGTTTGACCATTTTGGTGTATTGTTTTGACTATTTTTTATTTTTCTTCCAAATCCCCCTGTAGGAGAAAAACTAGTCCATCTACAGGATCAAAATTCAAAAATATAAAAAAAACGATAGTCTGGGAACTATTGTTCAATTATTGTGTGACCATTTTGGTGGATTTTGTTTGACCATGTTCTATTACTCTTCCAAAATCCCCCTGCAGGAGGACAGGCCCGACTCAATCCTAGACTTACTTTGGAAAAAAGGGGCTTCGTTCCTGGCAGTCGGCCTGGATTAGTAGGTCGACCCTGCCAAATCAAGGGTACCTTTGTGTCCTGTGTCTCGCGACCCACGCATCCTGCCTTCCTATGGCGATGTGGCCCTTGGAAGGGTCTTTTGTCCTCTCGCGTGTCCTGTCCACTGAAGTCCGACTGTATTGATCGTTCCTTAGATCAGGCCGAATACTGTATCCCATCCAGTGGATGGAATATTTTCGGGGGGCCTGGGGCCCAGACAGCCACGATCCACCGCCTCCCAGTGTCCTGGGGCGTCGGCTCCCCAGGCGGTGGACGCGCTTACACTTGGCAGTGCTCGGCGAGCGTGTGCATGTTTGTTTCTCGGCGAGAGCCATCGAGGAGCATTCCTGGATCATCTTGCGAAGAATTAGCGCGCGGAGCCGAAGAAAGCACGGGGCATGGACCTCCAAGCGATGGCAAGGTGTAAGTTTTCCCCCCTCGAAGCTGGTGCCACCCTGGGCCCACGGGCCCTGCCAGTCAGGGCCAGGAGGTTCCGCTCAGCGCAGTGTGCGCACACCGCCCCAGAGCCTTGGAGGCCTTGGCCGGGGACTGGGCTGGCCCGATAGCGCTCAGACCAGAGGATGTTGCCGCGCCGGTTGTTCCGACGCGCGGCCTCATACGTCTTGGGGAGGGTGCTTCGGCCACCAGGGCAAACGCCGCCTCGGACGCGGTGAGTTCGCCGTGGGTTGGCCGCGGTGCCGGCTGCGCCTACTTGAGTGCGGGCGCCGGGTTTGCCTTTGGGTTGCCGCGGTGTCGGCGTCGTCCATTTGGGCGCGTCGAAAACAAACAGCGTGGCGACAAATGGTACAAATGCAAATTTTCGGAGATCGGTTGTTTCGGGGCTGTTGCTTCGGGAACCCAAATGTGGCATAAAGACAAATTTTCGGAGGTCCGCGCAGATTTCTCGGATCGGCGCTGGAGCCCCCTGGCGGCGCCTCCGGCGCCGCTCCTGGCGCGCTCCGCGCGCCAGGGAGGGGGGTCCAGCGCTCATCCGAGAAGTCCGCGCGGACATCTGAGTTTTTCTGTGAATGGCATGGCTTGGTTCCATCTCGTTCGTCCAATGTGTGTGTGTCTGTGTGTCTGTGTGTCTGTGTGTCTGTGTGTCTGTGTGTCTGTGTGTCTGTGTGTCTGTGTGTGTCCGTGTGTGTCTGTGTGTGTCTGTGTGTGTGCGTGGCGTGTGTCTGTGTGTGCACCCCGCCCAACTCCACGGATAGCACGCAGCCTGTGCCGCGGTCCTCGCTGCACCGCCTGCGTCGTACCGGAGTGCTCCAACGGGCAGGCGCGCGCGCGCCGGCCCCAACGCACGATGCGAGGACCGTCGAGGCTTTGAGGCCAGACGTTGCGCAACAATGGCAACATCGCGGGAAGCCGCGATTGGGGCCCTAGGCACAGTCTTGCTGCGGCACTCTCCCAGCCGGAATCGGTGAGTGTGTGTGTGTGTGTGAGGGTCCCGGGGCCCACAAGTTGGGCGAAGACGCCCGGTGTGAAGCCGCTGCAACGCCCAGATCTCGGGAGGTGGTGTCTCGGTATCGTTTAACCAATCCCCATCCCCGTCCTCATCCCCTTCGAGACCCCCACCAAATTACCACCCCGGTTGGGGATACACCCCCCGAAAGTCGAAGGGAACGGCCTATATCCCCATTTTGGGGGGGGGTAATTGGCCAGTGGGGGCCCAGACCATGCCGCTGGGGATGGGGATCGGTAAAACGATACTCTGTTTGCAGGCCTTCCAAGTGGGGCCCGAGCAGGTGGGGTCTTTGGAAAGCGCCGCTTCGCCGATGCATCGGGGATACAAGTCAATGTGGAGCCCGCCTTTCTCCACGCCAGCGTCGCCGAAGCATCGGCGGGCTTCGGCGATGCGGCGCGATCCACCGACCCCATCTTCTCGGATCCCATCTGGGAGGCCCGTTGCGACCGCCTTTTCCGACTTGAGGGCTGGGGGCCAGCCGAGGGCGCCGATGACGCACCGTTGCCGGACACTTTCTGCAGCGCGGCGGTGGAGGTCGGCCTCGGCGCCGGGCGCTTCCGCCTCCGCCTGGCGAGGCACGGCTCCGCAGCGCTGAGGGCCGCGGAGGAGGCCGGCGACTTCGACCTCGCCCCGCTGGAGCTGCAGCTGGTCGCCACCAGCCCCGTGGGCGACGGGGCCCTGGCGATCTCATGCGGCCACACGGAGGAGTGGCCCGATGCGCCGGCGGAGCGGCCATTGACTGAGGCTTTCGGCATGTTCGCCGGATGTCCGACGGCATGATTTTTTCGATCCCGGCGATTTTCCTCGATCTCAGCATTTGGGGGCCGCTATGGTGGCTCAGGGGCCACCCAAAATAGCTCCCGGGGAAGGGGTGGGGAGCTCTGCGGCCGCGGATTGAACATATTCTCTGCGTGGAGCTTCCCATATGTGCATCTGTTTGCATGGGCATTTCCACCGTGAATGTCTAGGCGCAAGAGACTTCGAGTATAAGCGAGCTCGACAATGAACAGACTGCAGGTGAATCGAACTGTGACTGGGTTGGAGTGTGAATGAGTCTCAGTAGTACGAGTGAGTCTATGCGCATCAATCTGAGTATGCCTGAGCTTAGGATGCGTGTGTTTGCACGTCAGTGGCCTGAACATGACGGAGCGTGACTGAATCGAAATGGTTACGCGATCTTTCCCTCCATGATGAAGCAAGGAGTAGGGGTGCTCATGCAAGCGCCGTGCCAAACCCTTGCGCTTCGTTGGCTGGCCCAGAAGAGCTCACGTTGTGGCTGGACCGTCATACAGCCAGCCACGCCATTCAGGAACATACGTAAAACATTTAGGAGTGGAGCCACAGGATACTGGCAATGTATAGGAGCATAAGTAAAAGCACTAAGGAATCGTGCCCAAGTAGAGGCCCAACATATAGGAGCATCCGAAAAAAACAGGAAAAGAGCAACAAAACACTCAGGATTTGAACCACAGGGGAGTGGCAATCTATAGGAACATACGTAACACACCAAGGGTCCGTGCCCCAGAAGAAAGGCCCAATCTATATGAACATACGTACAATATTGAGGGTTGGAGCCACATTTTTGTACACACCAGGCAGCTCGTGCAGCACGAGCCGATCCCGCCGCCAAAATGGCGCGAGCCGCAGAGCGCGGCTGGGAGGCTCCGCAAACAGCGGCCTCCACAAGCAGCGTGCACGCCACGCTGCGTGGGTGTGCGCCGTCAGGTGAGGCAGCCACGCGAGCCACCAACCACCCCGTGCCAGGCCTGAACAGGCCTAGACCACCGAAGGCACTCCCCAAATCACTCACTCAGGCGCCTGCCCGTTTTCGGGTCCAGGCCAGCCCTGATGTTGGCAATCTTCAGGTTGCGCAGGCGCAGCGCGTTGCCAGAGGCCGCAACACACAACCTGCCGAGCGACCTGTGCTTGCCATTGAGCTCCTTGGCATAGGCCTTGCAACGAGTGCAGATCCTGAAGCCGTTGATGCTGAGCAGCTCGTGGCCTGCCCCACCAGCTGCCTGGGTGGCAGATCCCTCGGGCACGTGCTCCGACATGGAGACCTGGGCGACCTCGAGGCCTGCACTTGCCTGGCTGTCGGCGGGATCCGCATCCGCCCTGCCCTCGGCCACGCGCGCAGCGCGGGCAGCTGCCGCTGCGCGCAAGAGGGCATCGCCAGGCGAAAGATCCTGGCCGCTGCTGCTGCTGCTGGTGCCACCGCCTGCCGCCGCCGCCTCGGGGCGTTGCAGATCCTGCGAGCCCGCAGCAGGATGCTCGCGGGCGGCGTCGGCAAGCCTCGGCGCTTCCTGCTGGAGCTCGGCGTCGGGGTACGCCACGCGCTCGCCGACGTGAGCGCTCCTCGCCTCCTGCTCGAGCCTGTGCGCAGCCGCCAGCGCCACTGCCACAGCGCCTGCGGACGCCAAAGCCGACGCCGTAGGCTTGCGTCTCGTGCCACTAGCCACGGGCGCAAACGGCTTGGCCACACACGGGTCCTTGAGCAGCCTCTTGATGCTGAGGTCCGTGTACGCTGTCTTGAGGCAGGCCCTGCAATGCACTCCACCTCTCGCCACCTTGACGACGTTGTGCTTTGTGACGCTGAGCGGAGGCCCCTTGTGAATCGGCTTGCAGTTCGGGTCGATGTCCAGCTTCAGGTCAGCTGCCTCGCACCCCGCACGCGCAACCCAGCGCACAACTCCGTCGAGGGTGAGCGAACGCCGCTGCCAGGCTTCGCGTAGCTCAAGCGGCGCCCTCACCGCAGCTGCAACTACCTTCGCCGTACGGTCGGCCTCCCAGTTGCCTCGCCTGTCGCGTGCAGTGATGTCTCCGTTGCGGACCATGGCCGACGTGGCGTGCGCCTTCACCTTCTGAATCGTGAGCCCTTGGGGCCCAATGCCACCGAAGTCGTCCAGAGCTGCCCAGACGCGCCTCCATACGCATCCCCAGGCAGAGGTCGCCTTGGTGGTGCTGGCCTCGCCCCTATCCAGCAGGCCCATGGTGACGTACGAGGCGTCGAAGGCCGCAGTGATAGGCGGCAGGCTGTGGCGGAGAAGCGCCAGGCACCCCAGGAGTTCGGCCCCGTCGATGGACTGCAATGGCCCAGGCAATTGCGCGCCCAAAGCCTTGACGGCCGACTCGGGTCCTGGGTCCCAGTCGTCGTCTCCGTCAGGCAGCTGCGCCATGCCGCAAGCCCCCACCGCCAGCGAGGACCCAGCCTCGCAGACCGCTCCGTCCGAGTAGACCGTGGTGTCGGAAAACGGGAACCCGTCGCCGCCCTTGACCCATTGCACGTGCGCAAGTAGGTCGTCGCCTGGAGGACGCCGCGCGTGGAGGGGCTCGGGCAAGACCAGCCTCTCCAGCAAGGTAGAAATGGTCACGCTGGTGCTGAAGGGAACAAGCTTGCTGACCTCGGCAGGGGGCGTCAGGCTCGGCCAGCTGTCCTGGCAGGCCGTGTGCCTGTGCCAGAGGGTGCCAGGCTGGCCAGGGTGCAACTGGCAACATGGCGTGCGGGCGATCCTTGGGGCTCCGTGGTACCTCCTGCTGTTAGGCCACTGCCCGAGGACAAAGACCGAGCGCGCGTACCCCCGCTGGCTGCTGTTGAGGGGCTCCCAGTCCTTCGCCAGGTTAGAGCCCCCCACACCCTTGGAGAACCAGCGCCGCAACTGCGGAAGGAAAATGCCACTACGAACGTCCTCGTGGGTGCCGTCTGCCAGGAGCTTCATCTGCCAAGCCCTCACGTCCAGCGTGATACACTGCTTGGCGTACCATGGGGAGACTTCAAGAAAGTTGATGATCGTACCGTTCGGCCTGACGATGCAGTCTAGCGCCTTAGGGTCGTGGCCAATCCTCTTCAGCGACATGACCACCGCTCCGAGCGGACCGCGTACGCCAGCCCAGCATGTAGCCGAGTTGGCCGCCCACTCGAACGCTGGCTTGAGCTGCCCGATCGGCACCCACTTCTCCCACACAGCGCGCGCCAGCGTGAAGCAGGGCGCCAGCGTCGCTGCGAACAGAGGGTCGATGGTGGGCGATCCTCCCACCAGCAAGCACGCCGTGAGCGACTTCCCGTGGGGATTCGGCTCGATGGCGTGCCGCACCATGCTGCGCGCCTGCTGCAACTCCGTGTTGTTGAGCCCCGTGCAGTTGATGCCGCAGAAAAGGCTGGGAGCCAAGCCTGTCGATACGATCGCAGCCGCTTGTGGCCCTGCCCCGTCGAAGTCCCAGTAGCCGTCTGATGCGAGGGATGCGGAGTCGGTTCTGAGCAATGCGGTGACGCCTGACGACGCTTGACCTCCTTCCGCCCTCCGTGTAGTCGATGCCGAGGTTGCGCACCTCCCTGACACCGATAGCACCTGTGGTCGAGCCCAGGTGCTTCTGGAGAGTGGCCCTCAAACTCCTGCTGCTGGCCAGCACCCGCGACTTCTTGGCGGCAATGGACAGGTTGACCTTCGCCAGCCCCTTTAACCACCGCCTTAGCAGCCATGGTGAGGTCTTTGGCAACACGCTTCGACCCTCCCCACCGCTGCAGCACAACGTCGTCGACCACGACGGCAGGGGTCACCGTGGGGCAGGCGACCTTCAACTCGTCTAGCGGCGAAAGGAGCATGACCTTCATGAAGGTGGTGGCGAAGGCGTCGCCAGCCAACACCGTCTGCATAACCATCAGCTCGTCGGAGCAGCACGTCTCCAGGCTGATGACCCTGGGGAGGCGGTAGAGCGAGACCTGCAGCTTGGCCAGCCACAGTGGAAACTTGTGCTGCACGCACGCCCGCCGCAAATCGCCGTGCATGATCTGCTCGAAGGCCTTCCACAGGTCCATCATAATCGACGCCGAGGCCCAGTCCTGGCCCTTGTACACCTCGCTCATCATCTGGACCCATTCTGCACCGGCCTGCTGCTGCCACGCTGCCCTGTCGCAGCTCTTGCCCGAACTGGCCCACCAGTTGTCCCTGTCGTGCGCCGCCTCCCAGGCCTTCGCGATGCCCCTGCGGAGCCTGCCGTGAATGCGAACCACCGCGCCCAGCAGCGCGATTGGGCGGAGGCCCCCGTCCGACTTGGGAATGAAGGCCAGCTTAGTGATGAAGGATGGCCAGTCGCACCGCAACTCGATGGCGGCCAGCAAGTCAATGAGCGCCTCGATCCCAGCGTCGTCGAGCACGCCCAGCTCGTGCGGGCGCAAAGCGTCGAAGGACGAGCCACTGGAGTCCATGAAGGTGGCGATGACCGCTCTGATCTCACCCACCGAAGGTCGAGCAGGACGCTCGCCGAGATCAGCTGGCCACTCGAGCTCCCTCGCCGCGAGAGCGCCCCCCAGCGGCGTGGTGGTCCCTACTCCCCAATATCCTGGCCACTCCTTCACCAGGGCTTGGACCATCTGAGAGAGCGTACGAGGCTCGCTCCCTGGGGCCCCAGAGATCCTCGGCTGCCAGCCCTGCGGGGGTTTGGTCCAGGAGTGTAGGGCCCCCGTACCTCTAGCGTGATTCTCGGCGACCCAGTCTCCGAAGCCCGCCTTCGCTTTGTCAGCGTCACGCTGCACCAACTTGTCTGCCATGGTGGCGGCGATGTAGCTCGCGACCTGCAGCTGGGGCAGATCCATGCCGTGCGCAGCCTGCGCAAAGCCCAGCAGGGCGAACTGAGCCTGCGCCGTCTCCTGCCTGGAGTCGTTCAGAAAATCGGGCTGAGCACCGCACAATCGATCGAGCGTCTTCAGCGCCCTATATCTCTTCAGCTCCATGTCGGTCTGAGCTGCGTCCTTGAGCGCGATGGCTACGCTCTTGCACCAAGACGTGGTGGCTGTCACCCTCGGCAGTCTGGGCGCCGACGGCTGCAACACCCTGACTAAGGCCAGCCTAGGGCGCCGCTCACGCCCAGCGAACTCGTGATACTCGTGCTTGAGGCCGATGGCGTCCAGCAAGTATCGCTCCGCGCTGTGAATGAAGATCTGCCACATGATGTCCAGCGAGGAGGTGGCCGCCATGCGGCCGCGTGCCTCCGCCCACCTCTGGGAGTGGTCCTCGGTGCAGCACGCCTTGGGGAGAGGGTACGGAAGCTTCTTGGGAACCTTCATGACCTGCATGAACCTGTTGACCGAGCTGGCGTTGAACCTGAGCTCGACAGGGAAGTGTGGAGAGATATCCCACCCAAGCTTGACCTCCGCCTGCGCTTCCGAGATCGCGTGAGAGACGACAAAGTAGTCAATCACCTTGCCCGGCGGCCGAATAGTGCCGTCCGCTGGCGACACCACCCTGCCTCCGACACGCTCGAGGAAGCCCGAGCACTGCAGTTCGTGGGGCTCCATGTTGAAGTCTCCCGCGATCACGAAGGGCTTGCCGATGGCGCGCACTGCCATCGCGATGCCGTCCAAAATGCTGAGGTTGTAGGCCGAGAGGCCGACGCCAACCTTCAAGTAGACGTTGAACCAAGCTAGTCCCCCAGGGAAGGGGCCAGCTACATGCGCGACTGCCGCGCGTCCTGGCGCGAGCACCGTCGGCTGCCCCGCTTCGAACTCGCCGAGGCCCGAGGACCTGGGCGCCAACTGCAAGAGGCCGCCGTGACCTGCATGTCCCGCAGCCACGTCGGTGGCTGGAGTGGCCACCGCATGCCAGCCAAGCCTCTGCAGCTTGTCTGTGACCTCGCAGCACCTCTCCTGGGAAAGGTGCGTCTCCTGGACCGCAACCAGGTCGCAGCTCCTGAGACCTTCGTAGCTGAGAATGCCCTCGAACCTGCTGTAGGCGTTGGCGTTGATGGAGAGAGCTGTCCACCAGCGCCCGTGAGGGCGGCTACCCTGAGGTTCGTGGCTTCTTGACGGACCGCAAGACCTCCAGGGCGTCGCGGATCCTCTTGCGCTGCTCGTCATCATCACCACAGCTGCCAAGAAGCCCACCAGGGTCATCCTCGCCCAGGAAGTCGTCGAAGTCCTCGGCTGGCGCCGCCCCCGCTGCTGGCGCCGCTGGGGCCTCACCTCCGCCAGGCTGGGATTCAGCTGGCTCGGAGGCGGGCACAGCGCCGCCTGCTGCGGCAGGAGATCCGCCCTGCGGGCGAGCTGCCTTCGCTTCCTCGGCGAGCTCGTTGACCATCTTGGAGAGCTGCTCGAGGAGATCCTGGCCAGAGACTCCGTCGGTGTTGAGCGTGCTGAGCTTCTCCTTGATCGCGTCTGGGCTGATGCCTCCACCGTAGAGTGCGGCAGCCTCGCGCTTGGCATCTGCGAGCTCCTGCTGCAGCTGCGCGATGCCCATCTTGGTCGTGTGCACCTGCTCCAGCGCCTTGCGAGCCACCGCGGACTCGCGCTTGAGCCGATCCTGAGCGTCAGCAAGCTGCCGAGCAAGTCCATCCACTTTTTGAGGTGCCGACTTCCCCACCAGGCCGAGAGACTGAGCACGGCGAGCAGCGTCCACTTTCCCACGAGATGATTGCGTGAGGGTGTGCTTCGTCGCGTCCCATGTCTCCTGCGAGAATGCGGCCCAGACCTTGACCTCCTCCGCGCTGAGGGACGTGCCCGTGGAGCTCTTGCCGCCTCCAGCACTCTTGCCTTTGAAGAGCTTGCCGTTGAGACCCCACTGGTTGCTCGGCGGCGAGTTGGCCCACTTGCCGCGGGTGGGAGGCTGACGAAGCTGCCACGGCTGATGCTGCCCTGCTCCGCGCGGCAGGCGGGGTCGCATGCCTCCGCACCCCGCCTTTGTGCACCGAGTGCGGTCAGCCGCGTGGTACTCTCCACAAACGCACTGCCACTGAGGTGCCATGGCCGAGACACGCTCTGTGTTATAAGTGCCAAAACTATGGGAGCCGCCGCGCGCGCCGCTGAGAGTCGAGCTCGGGAAACAGAGCTATCCCGTGTCGGCCAGGAGGCTTGCAGCCTCCCAAGCATTGGGTCTTGAGCCAAAATGGCTACGGAGGGTTGGAGCCACAGGGTAGTGGCAACCTATAGGAACAGATTACGAACACCAGGGATTCGCGCCCCAGGAGAGGCCATACACAAAGCAATTAGTGCTGGAGAGACAGGACAAGGACAATCTATAGGAACACACCTCAAACACCAAGGATTCGTGCCCTGGGAGAGGCACAATCTATGGGAGTTTACTAATTTGCTGAACTTGAAGTTGTCTTCTCCATTGCTCGAGCAAACATCCCACCCTCCCACCCGCAACTTGGTCAGCAAAACTCACCAGACCGTGGCTGCAAGTACCCAGCGAAGCTTCCTAGCGAGTACCTGACGCCGACGTCGTCGTCGTCGTCGTCGTCGTCGTCGACGCCGTCGCCGAAGCCGTCGTCGTCGTCGTCGTCGTCGTCGTCGTCGTCGTCGTCGTCGTCGTCTTCCCCGCCGTCGTCGTCGTCGTCGTCGTCGTCGTCGTCGTCGTCGTCGTCTGTCGTGGTCGTCGTCGTCTTGCGCACATCGCTCGGTATCGGCCGACTTCGGGACCCTGGGATCGTTCAACCTGAAACTGCAGTGGGGCAGCCGCCGCGTCGACGCGGCGCGAACCTCCCTGCCGTCGACGCGGCGCGTTGAATCTCGAGCGGCCCCCGCTCTCCGGCACCAGACGACTAGCAAGCCCTTCGATCCAGCAGGAGACCACGCGGGCGGGCGCCGGGCCTGCTGCGGGCGGGCGCCGGGCCAACGCAACCACGATTCTCGCGAGCCTCGGGCCCCCCCTTTCCCCGCCCTGCCGCCGCGACGACGACGACGACGACGACGACGGACGACGACGACGACGACGACGACGGACGACGACGACGACGACGACGACGACAACGACGACGACGACGACGACGACGACGACGACGACGACGACGACGACGACGACGACGACGACGACGACGACGACGACGACGACGACGACGACGACGACGACGACGACGACGACGACGGCGCGCGCGCATGTGTCCCGCATGGTATTATTTGACACGGACAGTGGCCCTGGCAGGCGCGCGAACGTCGTTGAAGGAGCGCGCGAAAGTAGCTCGCACGAGCTCGTGCGACCGAAATGTTGAAAAAAAACATTGGTTTTTTAAGGTTCGGACAGCGCGAGCGGGCAAAATTTTGAAAATCCGTGCAGGTTGTTTCGAGGACCTACGGTGCGATTCGTGTGTTTTTATGTTACGGAGTGCTGAAATGCTCAAGAAACCGCATGGTTTTTGAAGATTTCGGCGCGCGCGCGAAGAAAAAACGAATGTGTCCCGCATGGCATTATTTGACAAGGATTATGCCCCTGGCAGGCGCGCAGCCGTTGTTGAAGAAGTTCGAAGCGCAGGAAAAAATTGCTCGCAAGAGCCCTTTTGACAGAAATGTTGAAAAAGTGCTGGGCTCCCTAGGAATCCGCAAGAGCGCGCGGGGTGAATGTTTGTTTTTTTTTGAAAAAAAAAAACATTGTTATATATATATATATGTTTTTATGTTAAAATCGCTACGAACACTAAGGTGTTGGAAGGATTTCGTTTTGCGCGCGCGAATGTGTCCCGCATGGTATTATTTGACAGGGATTTGCGAAAAAGTGTTATGTTAGAAAGAAAAATGTCCCCGCATAGTGTTATTTGACAGGGAACCGCAGGGGGGGGGATACCGGCTTGGCTGGGATGGTATGAGTTCATATTTAGGATGGACATGTTGTCATAATCATATGTGATTGACAGCACGCGCGGGGGAAGCGATAAGTCCGGGGGGGGGGTAGAATCTATTATTCTTTCAGAAAGGAGAATTTACATAACACGCGTAGGATTGGAGCCACTCCTGCGGCCTCTGGGGCCTCCTGGCGCTTCCTGGTTCCTTTTGGAGTCTCCTTGAGCTTCCTGGGGCCTCTTCGGGTTTCCTGGGACCTCCTGGGGCCTCCTGGGGCCTCCTGTGGCGTCCTGGGGCCTCCTAGGGCCTCCTGGAACCTCTTCGGGCCTCCTGGTGCCTCCTGGGGCCTCCTGAGGTTTCCTAGGCCTCCTGGAGCCTCTTGGAACCTCGTCGGGTCTTCTGGTAAGGAATCGCGCCCCTGGAGAAACCATATCAATAGGAACATACGTGAAACACTTAGGATTGGAGCCACAGGGGAGTGGAAACCAATAGGAACATAAGTAAAACACAAAGGAATAGGAACATATGCAAAACACAAAGGATTCGTGCCCCAGGTGCTGAAACCAGCGCCTCACCTGCGACATCCTCAGGTTCTGTTTTGAACGCAGTCGAACATGGTCACAGAAACCGGCTAACCGTTCGATACGTCCTCGCAATCTTGGCCCCCTGGGGTGCGAAAACCAGCGCTTCGCCCGAGACATCCTCAAGATCTGCTTTGAACGCAGATAAGTCTGGCCACCAAAACAGGCAAACCGTTTGAGACATCCTCGCAACTTGGGCCCCCTGGGGTGCGAAAACCATCGCCTCGCCCGAGACATCCTCCAATTCTGCTCCAACAGCGGACAATATGTTGTCAATATGCAGGCAACACTTTCGAGACATTCACGCAATCTGGGCGCGATCGGAAGAGTGAGATGCCCCTGGCGGCTTCCCTTCAGGGAGTGCTGAAAACGGCAAAAACCTTCCGTCGCAACTTCATCACAGCGCCGGCATTTTTGGGACGGTTGCTCTTGCTCGGGGCCGCTCTCGCGTGCAGCCCGCGCGTGGCGTCGGGGTGGCCGCCGCACTTCCGGCTGCTCGCGTTCCAGTGCGCGCAGGCTGCGGGCCGCCCTCCCAGCGGCGAGTTCGAGGAGCTGCTAGACACCTCCAGTTCGGGGGTTCCCAAGGGTGTCCCTGGCCCAGGGTGGGCGACGCAGAAAAAGGGGTTCCTCTGCGTGGACATGCGCGCGCAAGTCCCCCGCGCAAGGCCGCGCGTGAGCGCCCTCGCTTCCAGCGTAAGGTCGCCATGCCATCTTGCGTAAGACTTGTCTCTTTTCGCCGTTCGGGCGTCACTTGCATTTCGTGTCATCTTGGGGCCACAGAGGCCCTCTGGGCCTCGTGAGGGGTGCCGTAGAGGCCGCGGGGGCCTCCTTTCTTTTGGAGATCCTCTGGGGACATCTCGGGCCAGAGACACCTCTGGCAACACCCGATCCAGCGTCCGCTTCGCGCGCAGGTGCGCCTGGGCGGGCCAGGTCGGTCTGGCGCTCACGCTGCCTGGCGCTGGCGCCGGTTGCGAGCGGGCCGGAGTGCCGCACGAGCTACTCCACCGCGCGGTGGATGCGATGAGGATCGGAGGAGGAAAATGTACCTCAGAGCGTGAATTACCTACCCCGCTTTCGCTTCCAGGCAAAACCAAGTCATACCACGCGCCTCCTCGTCAAGCGGCCTGACCAGTACAGGCCGTAGTTTGGCATCGCTTGGTATCTCTTGGAAGCGAGGGTGGTCAAAAGCGAGGTCGGTTTGTTTTCCCCCTAGTAGCGACACTGCTGCCCTTATCTCGTTTTCGCCCTTCTAAGGCTTCCTAAGCTGGGAGGCCCTCGTCGCCACCGCTGGATTCGCCCCAAAATTCTGGTCATAGCGCCCTTTGAAAGAGGTTCTGGGAGTGGCGCGGCATCGGTGCCTGCTGGTTCCCCCAGAGGAGCTCATGCGCGGCCCTGCAGCTGGTCCTGGCGGTGCCGCTGCCCGAGCGCCTCATGGCTGGCGCGTTGGACAGCGGCACGTGCGTCCGGCTCGGCCGAGGTGACGATGAGGACGGCGAGTCGGAGTCGGAGTCCGAGGAGGGCGACGAGGCGGAGGGGGAGGGAGAGGCTTGCGCTGGGAGCGCCTGATTGTAGGCTGCGTTGCCCCGCGCGTCGGCTCGGCCTCGCGTGCGCCAAGATGATCCTCCTCCATCATCTCTCGGAGACGAAGCATTTGCAAATTCTTGACGCTCCGCGTGTCCCCACCAGCCCGTGACGGATAAGCTGCCCGCGTCGTACGCCGACGACTTGGTTGTCTCGCTTCCCACGGTGGACGCCGCCTTCGAGCTCTTGCTACTGCACAAATGGTATATCCTTTGGCAGTGTTCTCGGCCCTCCCGCAGGGTGGCCCGTGGTGCTCGCCCAATACTTGCAGCTGCACCCCCCCGGGTTCAGAGCCAGGCTGCTGCAGGTTGTGGACTCGGAAGACCGGGACGGAAGACAGGGTCGACTCTTCCTGCATAGGTCGGTCGCTCCTGCCCGAGCACTTCCAGGAGTCCTTGTGAGTGAGGCGTTCTTCGGTTCCCCCCCTCTTCTGTCCTCGCGTGCCTTCGCGCCCGTCGCCTTTCCCCGTTTTTTAGCCTCCTCGTCGTGCTGGACGGTGCGGCCCCACTGGCCTTCTGTGCTGCCACAGCGCGGCGTGACCCACGCCGTTACGCGCTGGTCGGTACGGACTGAGCTGGCGCCACTGTGCGACTCTTCCTCCGTCAGTTTTCTTCTGATGCCCGCGTCCCCGCTTCCGGGCCACCTGCATCTTAATGGGGGGTATTTTGTCCCTGGCACGTGCACTTGCTGCGTCGGCCTATGTGCCGTCGTTGCTAATTATCTCGCTCTTTGCCCCAGCCGAGACCGTCCCGCTTCCTGGATCTGTCCTTGGAGCCGCTAATCAAAAAAAGTGTCCCCACCAGCCAGCCCATCCAGAATGCCCATGAGAGCTGATGGGGGGACAGATGAAGAGACACGCAGAGTCAAACAGCGTGGGAGACCGGCCTGGACGGCGTGTTGGGGCCATCTCCGGGCCCGCGTGGGGGGGGGGGGGGGGGCGAGGAGGAGGAGGAGGAAAACAAGGAGAAAGAGGAGGAGGAAACTCCGAATCCCTAATCAAACCAACGTTACAAGCTAAAGCCTCGAAAAGTCCTTCATCCGTGACCTCTTTGGCGTGTCTCAGGTCAGCCAAAAATTGATTAACCCACGGAGAGGCTTGTTCCGTCGGGGTACCATGGCGCAAGGGGGCGAGCACGATCAATTTCCATTTCTCCCAAAAAAGAGGTCCCTCTATGTCCTTAGCCCAACTCTGGTACAGCTTAAGTATCCTGATTACCAGCTCTGTCCAGCACGGTGCAGACCGCCACCGCCTGAGAATTCGGTGGTTGGTGAGGCCGACGGGTGTGTCCCCGTCCCAGTTTACAGCATGTCATTTTCATGGCCACTCTAGTGCAACAGTCCTGTTGTCTGTCGAGCTTCTCACAGTCTTTGGCTGCGATGACAAAACTTTCCAGGCCGCTTAGGAGCGCCTAGACAACAAAACATAAGAGGCGACATCACTTAAATTGGAACGGCAGGGACATTCCCCAAATTCCTCCCAGTGACTAAAAAGCCGTGCGCGCAGCCTGGGCCTTGCGATCAATCTCGTGGGTCGGAGTGCTTCTGTGAACCAAATGTGGACCCAAATATCTAACAGAGTTTCGGATGCCCCCCATTCAGTCCGTGGGAGTTGGGGGATTGGAGGAGTTGTTTGAATGCCGTGTTGCCTTTTCCCTAGAAATAAAACAAAAGTTCCTGCTTACTAGCATTCTACTGATACCCACACGAATCAAGCTGTCCGTATAACGCACAATATGAATCTCAATGTGTTTGCATGAGTCCCTGAAGCGTTTTAACCTGGGAAGGCTAAAACCATGTTCGGAAAATCGTCGGCATACTGTATAAGCTTAGGTCAGCGCCACGGCCCCCATACCGCTACTAGGGCTTTCCCTCGTTCGGCGTTCTGCCAATGTCAACAACTCCATCTCAAAGCAGGAGGCTTTAATGCTTCTACAAAGGCGGCTACACGTCCCCTTCTGATGGTTTCAGAACGAGCGGGCGATCCGAGGACCGCAAAATCATAACTCCATTCCTATATCGCTGGCGGCAGAGGTCGCGGTCATCTTCGGCAACTCCTATATTGTCTGTTTTACATTGCCCGTCCGAACTGGCAAAAGCATTTGTGATATCCTGCACACACATGACATGTGTCTGGCCGCATCTCCTTAGCCGCCAGCTGGCTTGCAAAGCAAAGAGGATAGCGTTCTCACGCCTTCGGCCTGGCAGAAGCCGTGATCATAAACCGTCCGTTTGGCTCTGACCGTATAAGCGAAGAACTCTTCCCTAAAGCTGGGAGAACGTGCGCTATGCGTCGGCCCCATCGGCCCTGTTTGTGCATTCGTATATATAGCAATTCCGTCGCTCGCGTGCCAGTACAAAGTGGTCGTATTGACTGGTCTAATGTTCCGCAGGCCGACCTCGAGTAAAAAACCTCAAAACCTCATGTCTAGGCATCTTCTCCGCGCCTACTCCACGCCTGATCGTGATCTTGCGGTTCGGGAAGAGACACATGTGCCATAGTTCCAGCGGGGCCACCCCCGTGAGCATGTGTTTCCTCTTCGGGGCTTTTCTTTTATACTTCGTAATCTGTCGCAATTCACTGTCGGCCAGTTCCTGCACATCCGCATTCTTGTCAAAGGGGGAAATCTGCAACGTCTCTGTCTGACCTCCCGTCCTGGAAGTCAAATTCAGAAGCTCCCATCCCACCCCCCCCGACCCCCCGGCCTCAAGACCTCGACCCATTCCTGAGAAGTCGGCAGAGCTGTGCACGCGAGCCTGCCGTCGCGACGCTTTGGTCCGTACCTGCATCGCGCGGCGGCCCGGGCAGCTCGCATGGCCTCGACCGGGCGCCCTCTTCCCCGCCGAGCCTCGGCCAGGAGTCCAGCTTTTTCTGTCCCTCGCGTGCCTTCGACGCCCCATATACAAAGCGCGGCTGAGCTCGGTCAGTTCAGTCTCGATCTGCGCCAGCTCATCCTCCGAGCAAACGAGACGCGATCCTCTGCGGTCCGTCCTTGTTCTCCCACAATTCCCCATGGCGCGCAGACCACTGCTGATGTTCTTGCGGCGCACTGCGTGCGTTGAAGCAGGCCTGGCCAGCCTTGATTACACAGTTCTCGAGTATGACGAAAATGGTATCAGGTGCTGCGTCCTTTAGCCATGGTGCCTGAGCCTGTGCCAGCTCGGTCTTCGCGGCTCGCAGAAACTCCCCCCCTCCCCGCCCCGCGCGCACCGCCTCCATGATCTGATCCGTGTACCCGCGTTCCTCTTCGAGCTGCTGCGCCGGCCCCGTCGAATGCGTGGGATAGCGCGGGCAGACGCGGAGCGGCAGATGATCTTTTGGCGGCGTCCCTCTGAAGGCCCGCATTCGGGCGCCCAAGCGAGTTTAAACTCCGGTGGGACAAATCGCGCGTCGCATTTGGGCTGGCATGGAAAGATCGTCGCTGCGACTGGAGCTGCTGGGGCCAGAGCAAGTGTGCATGACGTCGCTCGTGAGTGCGTTGCACGCCAGCAGGTGGCGTTGGGCCATTCTTCTTCGCAGCGTCGCGCCCGCCGCCCCCCCCCCCCGCAGCCGCTCCGCCGCGCCCGTCCCCGCCACCCCGCCGTGGGCCTCTCTCCACTCCTGTGGATCTAGGAGCCGGCCAGTGCCGCCATGCCGACGTCTGCACGCAGCATCGGGGTCGCGCGCGCTGGGGGGCGACGACGGGGGCCCGCTTGGCCTTGAGCCCGTGACCTGTGCAACTCCGACATGTTGGCCTCGCTGTCCTGCTTTGTCTGGCTGCGGCGGAAAGTGCATCGTGGTAGCCGTGACAGCGGAACTGCCTCTCTTGACGCGCGCTGCTAGCCATCTGCCCGAGGCTCCAAGGGGGAGGGGCCCGCAACTGCTTTTACACGTGTTCTGTCAAGTGCAGGTCCTAGAACGACAGCTACGCCACAGCGGCGATTATTATACGGTGACTCACGGGCTCCCCAAGGTCCTTCAATCGCTGTGCGCCCACGCACACTCTCTTGGTCAAGATAGAGTTGTCAGTCGATGAGAAGGCTCTGCGATGTGCGCCTGCCAACCACGTGAAATCGAAATTCGATGTTTCCTGAATGATCTCGACGAGGCGATCCCAGCCTGCCGACTGCGGGTGGAAGCCGAGCGCGCGGAGGTGGTCGTTGCAGGTGCCATTGGGCATGTTCTGGATGTCCCCTGCCAGCCGACCTCTCCCATCACTCCGTGGCAGCGCGCGGAGCGTCGCCCCCTGGCTGGGGCGGCGTGGGGTGAGAGAAAATGCACCCGCTCTCCAATCTCTCGATCCCCGAGGCTTTGATGTCACAGTTTTGCGCATCAAAGTCTTCGCGGTCCAAGTCCACCCTCCTGGTTTCGAGGCCCCTCCTCCTTCCCTCTGTGAGGAGCTCAGTAGCTCCGAGGAGAAAGATACGCATGCTGGCGCACGATTAAGAATGGAGTTCCCTGCAACTGTAAACGCTCTACAAGGAAGGCTCTGCTATATCATTTAAGGGGCCCACATGACATGCGTAGTCTCATGCGCGTGCTGACGCCTGGCAATTTCTGTATGCATAGTCATCGAACGTTCTCTGATCTGACGGGGGGCGGCTCTTCACCTGCTCCGATCGGTGAGGCGAGGACATTGCGAGGCCCGAGACCCAACGACGCTCAGACCCCAGACAGAGTTAAGAAGCCTCTCCTTCCCGTGTCGCGAGCATACCAGCCCGTCAGCAGATTACCTCTGCAGCCATTTGACACAACACTTGCCCTGGCCCCTTGCGCCATTCACAGGGCGCGCGCGGCTGGGTGCCAGACGGGAGCGCCGCTGCCAGTCCCGGGCGGCCCAAGAAGCGCGCGGCAGCGGAGCGGGCAGGCCCCGAGATCGGCAAGGAAGCGAAGACTCAGAAGGGCAAGGGCAATATGGACAGAGGACACGACGCCCAGCAAGTCAATCCCATGGAGCGCCTCATCCGGACCAACACCCGCGATACCAGGGACATGGCCTACATCCTGTAACTACACTCGATGCGCAGCGCCAGCAGAATCGGAGCTGGTCAAGGCCATGCTGCGCGGAGGACGAGGGCACGAGGAGGAGTCCAAGAAGCTCCGCGCGGAGGTCGCCAGGGGCAACAACGTGGACTGGAAGTCGAGAGGGCCGCCCCACATCCACGCGTTCATGGAAGCAATCACACATCGCAGACAGGGAGGCCAAGATGAGCGATACCAGCCCAGACGACCAGAAGCGCGACCGCATCTCCAAGTCCATGAAGCAGCTGCTCAACGAGAACACCAATCACTTACACGATCGAGGAGACTACGAATATGGTGAAGTACTTCCGAGTCAAGCCTCAGAAGCAGCAGGACGGACAGCCGAATATCGCGACGGTGATCATCAATGTCGACCTGGCCCACCCAATTTCGATTCCGCTGATGGACATCATCCAGCAGTACATGAGCTCGAGAAGGGCCATAGTTGCTGGGAGCGGCTCCGCGAGGGCCCTTATATACACATAGAGAGAGAGAGAGAGAGAGAAAACAAAAAAAAAGTGTGAGAGAGAGGCGTCTTCTCGACGGCGGCAGGTAGACATGATGAGCAGCACCAGATTAGCAGAACTCGTGGCAAGAGGTCATGTTGACCCGTCCACAGTGACCCGTGCATGTAGTAGCCAAATTATTACATATAATCACGATGCCCTCCACGCGACTCCTGTTATTATAATGTCGTCGCAGTCGCGACGCAGGAGCAAGGGGAAGAGACAAGTAAGGGGAGGGGTGGGTCGTCGTCGTTCGATGCGGACGGTGGGGCGGTGGGGGAGGGTATCTGAACTACTATGTTAATCCTGCGCCGCAGGAGCTGGCCCCCACAGGGGGTTATTTGCCTCGCGGGATTGCCGGCCTGGCCACTGCCACCGACACGGATGAGCAGTCGGCCTAACAAGCTCAATTGTGCGTCGGGTTCGTAGATGTTTTTCCCAGGGTCCCGAGTTTGAAGCCACTGGTCTGTGCCAGGCCAGCGTAACTCTTCAGAGCTTAGGTGGGCCCCACGGGTCTTGAGTCTTGAGGAGGAGGAGGAGGAGGAGGAGGAAGACGATGAGGAGGAGGAAGAGGAGGAGGAGGAGGAGGAGGAGGAGGAGGAGGAGGAGGAGGAGGAGGAGGAGGGGGGGGGAGGAGGCAAGAGGAGCAACACGAGGAGAAGGAGGACGAGGATGATGAGGACGAGGACTCAACGAGTGAGGAGGAGGAAGAAGAGGAGGAGGAAGAGGAGGAGGAAGAGGAGGAGGAGGGAGGAGGAGGAGGAGGAGGAGGAGGAGAAGAAGGGGGGAGGAGGGAGAGAGGGGAGAGGGGGAGGGGTGGAGGAGGAGGAGGAGGAGGAGGAGGAGGAAGAGGACGAGGGGCAGGATGATAACGAGGAGGAGGAGGAGGAAAAGGAGGAGGAGGAACAGAAGGAGGAGGAGGAGGAGGAGGAAGAGGAGGGGGAGGAGGAGGAGGAGGAGGAAGAGGAGGAGGAGGAGGAGGAGGAGGAGAAGGAAACGACGAGACGAGGACCAAGGATATGGACGAGAACGAGATGAGGAGGAGGAGGAGGAGGAGGAGGAGAAACAGGATGAAGGGGGGGAGGAGGATATGGACGAGGACAATGAGGACGAAGAGGGGGACGAGGACGAGACGGTGTATGGCGTGCCTCGGGTGAATTTCGTGGGCCTCTTGGGTGCCTCTCGAGTGCCTTTTGGAGGCCTGTTGGGACTTCTCGGGGCTTCTTGGAACTCTCTTGTCTTGGGGGCCTCTTGGGGGCCCTGGAGGGCCGCTTGGTGCCGTCTTGAAGGCCGGTCGGTTAAAAGAGCGGGGGTCCTCGATGTCGGCCCCCCCCCCCCACCTTTCGGGAGCAACGATCCTCGTGAGGGGTGTCAGAAATTGGCCCTCCCACTGGCCGAAAAAGGACCCTCTGACACATCGGTCGGTCCCCCTCCTAAAAAAAACCCAGGGAAAGGGGAGGGGGAGGGTTCCCTTCCCCGAAGGGAAGAGGGGTTGTAGAAGAAGAAAATAGATCACCCTTAGACCACCTGTCGCCCAAAGGGCTGGTGGGATTCATCACCCCCTGGAGGTCCGCGCGGAGTTCTTGGAACGACGCTGGGCCCCCCTCCCTGGCGAGTGGAGCGCGCCAGGAGCGTCGCCGGAGGCGCCGCCAGGGGGAAGAACATGGTCCAGCACCGATCCGAGCGATACGCGCGGAGTTCGAACAGCTTCCACTATCCTCATTATTGGGTCTGGGTGTATCGAGGCCTACTTGTCTCAGGACGAGGGCTCGTGCGATGGCTCGGAGTGGAGGCCGCTCTTTTGGAGCGGTTCTCATCAGATAGTGTGACGCGTGCAGGGGCTGCGTCATCCTCCCTTCCCATCCTCCTCGTCATCTCCTCCATCTCCTGGGGCGGGAACGCATGCGGGCGCAGCCATTTGGGCCTTCGGTGGTGCTCTATATGAACCACGAAGCGTGTGAGGGGTGTGCCGAAATGGAGCGGGGCCGCCATGCGAACGTCGTCATTGGGGCCTCCAGTGGAGCTCCCTATGGGGCCACGATACGCGTGAGAGGCATGCCGACATGGACGGGGGTGGCGCATACAAACGTCGTTGATGGGGCTTTTTGCTGAGCTCCGTGGGTCCGTATGGGGCCACGAAACGAGTGAGGAGTGCGCCGAAATAGGCGGAGGGATACGCATGTGATCACAACCAGTGGTGCTTTCGATGGAGCCCCCTTATGGGGCCATGAACGTCGTACTGGGTGGCGCGGGACGCATGTGGTCACAGTCACTTGGGCATTCGGTGGAGCTCCCAATGGGGCCACGAATCGCGGTACGGGGTGTCGCGGGACGCATGTGGTCGCAGCCATTGGGGCTTTCGGTGGAGCTCTTTATGGGGCCACGAAACGCCATACTGGGTGACGCGGGAAGCATGTGGCCACAGCCACTGGGGCCTTCGTTGGAGCTCCTTTCGGGGGCCACGAAACGCCGTACTGGGTGGCGCGGGACGCATGCGGTCACAGCCACTGGGGCCTTCGATGGAGTTCTGTGCTGAGCCACGAAGCGCTGTACTGGGTGGCGCGGGACGCATGTGGTCACAGCAATTGGGGCCGTCGTTGGAGCTTCCTGTGGAGCCAGTAAACGCGGTGTTGGGTGGCGCGGGACGCATGTGGTCACAGCCATTGGGGCCTCGGTGAAGTTTCTTTGGGGGGCCACGAATCGCCGTACGGGGTGGCGCGGGACGCATGTGGTCACAGGAATTGGGCCACAAGCGCAGTACTGGGTGGCGCGGGAAGCATGTGGCCACAGCCATTGGGGCCTTCGGTGGAGCTCCCTGTGGAGCCACGAAGCGCCGCACTGGGTGGCGCGGGACGCCGGTGGTCACAGCCACTGGGGCCTTCGGTGGAGCTCCTTATGTGGCCACGATGCGCTGTACTGGGTGCAGAGGGCAGAGGCCGAGTTGGGAGGATGTGGAGGAGAGGCGAGGAGGAAGGGAGGAGGAGTGCGGGGCGCTGTCTCTCCAAAGCGAGGACCCCACACCACAGGACGGTTGGGAAACACCCTCCGTCGTGCAGCTTTGTCCAGCCGCGAGGGGGCCTTGCTCTCGGGAGGAGGGGGAGGAGGAGGGGGAGGAGGAGGGGAGGAGGAGGGGGAGGAGGGGGAGGAGGAGGGGGAGGGGGGGGGTCTTTGGCGGACCCGGCTGGCTCTGCGGGTGCCGCGGGGGGGGGGGAGCCCGCAGGAGATGCCCACGGCCGCAAGCCCCGCGCAGCTCACGCGAGGCCGCGCGCCCCGCCTCGCGCGGCCGGAGCTGGGGAGGGCGAGGCGTGGAGTTGGCTGGGCTTTCTGTTTTTTTCCTGTCCCGGAGGAGGAGAAGGAGGAGGAGGAGGAGGAGGAGGAAGAGGAGGAGGAGGAGGAGGAGGAGGAGGAGGAGGAGGAGGACCAGACCGTCCAAACTGGATCCGGGCTGGAAAACTGCAGCAGGTGGACCCTGGGAGGGGTCTGGGGACCGATTCTCAGCGGAGTTGTCCTTACTCCCCCCTCTCTTGACCGACTGGCTCGTGGCCCATCCAGTTCAGACCCCTTGGCCGCCTCCAAGGCGAGGTCAGAGACTGCCCCCCAGATTTCACGAGGTTGAATTTCGAAGGGGGGACTATGGATGTATGTCGTTGGATCGAGGTTCCCGCTCGAACGGGCGCCCCCCTCGGGGTCCAGCAACTCTCGCCTCTTTGCCCTTCCCCGATCCTCCTCCCTATAGGCTTGTTTGAGTGTGTTGTTCTGTCACCACGAGGGGGAGCAGGGCCCTAGAGCCAGGGACAGAATACAGTTCGACAGCATATCACGGAAATCTCTGCCCGTCCCGGGTTGAATGTATATCGGCGAGCATCGCCCAACAGCGCTCAGCAGCGCCAAACAGCGCCTAGTAGCACCGAATACGGTGGGGGCCATGGCCAATCCACGACTGCATGTCCACCAGCTTCCAGACCCTGGATTCCTTTTTCCATGTTTCTTTCTCCGCTGCCCTCACCGAGTAGCGTTCGGGCAGCTCCCGATGGCGACCAACTGCTCCCACTAGCGCCCTGCCAGGGAGATGCACGGTGCCCGCTTTTCGTGCGCGGTGGGGCGCCATGGGGACGGCCAACCGTTTCCGTAAGCTGCTTGCTCAAACAGAGAACAGACAGATGTCCAACCAGGACGCTGGAATGTCCATTCAGAGAGGACGGATGATGTAGAATGTTTCGACCCGTGGTTGTCGGACGCCTAGAGATTGACACCAACACCAACATTGGCGGTGTGCTTCCACCAAAGGAAGATGATCCCGATTTCGGTGATGGTGGTAATACTCGGGCTTCCTAGGTGGCCGAAAGATTACCACCAACACCGAAATCTAGGATCGCGTTCCTCCCGTGGAGGCAACCCCTGGTGTTGGTGTTGGTGCCCATTTCCACGCGTCCAAGGTTGTAGCTTTCTCGGACTCGCCAAGTTCGCAGAGTCTCCATTTAGGGAGCCCTTGCTGATCTCTCCCTTCTCCCCTCCTCCTTCTGCCTGCCTTCTTCTTATTTGGCGAATTATCTCCTACAGCCGGTGGCAAAATCCACCTGGTTACCTAGTTTGATCACACCCCCAGGGCCGACCAGCCCTGGAGGGTAGGCCGCGTTCGACGAACCCTGAGGCTGTCAGGAACCAGGAACCATTAAGAGAGCAAATTCGGGAACGGCCAGCAGAAGCGTGAGGACCAGGGGGGGGGGGGAAAACAATGGCCAGGGGCCGTGGCCATGACACCACCCTGGATGTCGTGGCACCCTCTCATGCGGTACGTCTCTCTCTCTCTCTCTCTGTATCTCGGCCCACCGTCGTCTGCGCAAATGGTTCTGGCCACGATTTCCGAATCCCTCTGACTGGACGCCCCCAACAGACAGAGAGTGGCAGACTCTGGCTGTTCTCTCCCGGGATGTCGATCCTTACTTGGGGCTCAGCTTGCCGCATCAGAGGCCGCACTGGTCAGGCTGCGTCGCTCAAATCTCTCCCGGGGAAGTGGAAGCGGCAGCCTGGGGGAAGCAGGTCGCACGAGAAGAACAGTAATAATGATAAGCTTGCGAAAATAAGTTCGCAAACACATACTAATAAGACTAACATCAATAATAGTCATATTATTCATAAAAATAATACATACATACTGATAACAATACGATCAATAATACTACTAATGGAAATACTAATAGGAAAAGTAATACTAGACGTAGCACTGTTGATAAACCGAAGAAGGAGTACAATCTGAATCCCAAACATAATATTAATAAGGATAAATGACGATCATACTAGCAATACTCACAATATAACAGTATCGGAAGCAATCGTAATCAGAATGCGGATGCGAGTCACAATACTAATGGTACGAATGATGACGATAGCAATAACGGTAACAAGACCAAACAACAGAACGTGCCTCGAGCGATCCCCACCCAAGAGCGCGAGGCAGGATACCCAGGGAGCTCCGGATCCCCTGGGGGCTGGGCTGGCCGCGGCAGGCGGTCGTGACTCGTCGAAGACGCGAGGCGGGCGGCACCCGTCGCGCGGGCGTGCCTGAAGGCCCGGCGAGAGGGGGATCCTCGAGGGAGTCTTGCCGGTGCCTTGCCTGCCTCGCCCTCCTGCCTCGGGCCGGACGACAGGGGGGGGACAGGGAAAGGGGGGGGTGTGACGACACCTGCTGCATGAAGCCGGTTTTGGCCCCGCCGAGGGGCCCATGCCTCGATGCATGGGCGCCTCCCGCCTCCCGGCGCCGGGAGGCGCCGGGAAAAGCAGCTACGTGTCGGGCGAAGAGAGATATGCACATGCGCCGATCCTGACAACGCCCATCCTTGACCCAGGATCGGTGCACATGCCTTCCTGGCCAAGGTAGGAGGGCATGTGCACCGGTCCTGGGCTCAGGATGGGTCTGGCCAGAATCGGTGTATGTGCATAGTTATTTTTCCTCTATGCGTGAGCTGATTCTCAAATCCCCCCCTTTGCTACCCCCCACTTTCGCCCGACCCGACCGTCCCTCTCCAGAGCGAGCTGCTCGGGCGTGCCCTGAGGCAGGGCGAGGGCGAGCAGGGCGAGGGCGAGGGCGAGGAGGCGGAGGGAGCGTCTTGCATGGCCAGGGAGGGTTTCCTCGGCCGCCATGAGCAGCAGCAGGAAGAGGCTTGCCTTGCTTGCTTCGCTCGCCTTCTCCTGTATTTTGGCTTGGCTCAGAGGAAGAAAAGTACTACTACTACTACTACTACTACTACTACTACTACTACTACTACTACTACTACTACTACTACTACTACTACTACTACTACTACTACTACTACTACTACTACTACTACTACTACTACTACTACTACTACTACTACTACTACTACTACTACTACTACTACTACTACTACTACTACTACTACTACTACTACTACTACTACTACTACTACTACTACTACTACTACTACTACTACTACTACTACTACTACTACTACTACTACTACTACTACTACTACTACTACTACTACTACTACTACTACTACTACTACTACTACTACTACTACTACTACTACTACTACTACTACTACTACTACTACTACTACTACTACTACTACTACTACTACTACTACTACTACTACTACTACTACTACTACTACTACTACTACTACTACTACTACTACTACGCTACGCTTCCCTCGTTGTTCCCCCTTTGGAGCTTCCTGGGTGGCCCTCGTTGCCATCTCTGGATTCGCTTCGAATGCTGGGTCAGAACGCATCCCGGGAGAGGTCCGGGGAGTGGCATTATGTGTCAGTTCCCTTTGGTTTCCCCATGTGCGGTCGGGAATTTTAGCTCAGCGCGTCGCGCCGCCGGTTCTGGCCCACCACGCTTCGGCGAGACAAGCTACATCCTGGTGCATCTTCAAGGCCCCGTACGTGGGGTCCTGACCGTCTCGGAGTTGGGACCCATCTCCTCTTGACTCGCATGCCTCACCTCGGCCTCCTCCGGGCGCAGCAGCGCCACGAACCCCACGCCCGCCCAGCCCCACTCCCGAGCCACGAGCAGCAGAGCCGCTCCACACTCGGGACCGCCCGGTCGGGGAACGCTTGGCGAGGGCGAGGGGGGAGGGGTCTTGCCGTAAGTCGGGCGTGTCCCCCTACAGTGGGATTTTCGACGAAAAACAATACCCCAAAAATACCCCAAAAAGGTCGAAAAGTAGTCCAAAAATAGTCCCAGACTATTTTTTGGATTATTTTTTGACCATGTTTCGGGTCTTTTGATTCTTCGTCGAAAATCCCCCTGTAGGGGGACAGGCCCGACTTAAGTCTTGCCTGCTTCGCCTCCCCGCCCCCCTCCAGGACAGGTGCACCCAGCCTCGGCTGGGGCGGGAGGGGCGTCTCGCGCGCCGACGTGCGCGCGGGGCGGTGCGCGAGGGGCGGCCGCGGCGGCGACCGGGGGGGACGCTGGCGTGCAGCGTTGCGTATGGTGTAGTAGGGAGGGGGGTCGAAACAAGCAGCGGAAGACGCGCAGGGGGAGGGAAAAAAGCACACAGACACGATGAATCGTCGATTCCCCAGAAAATATGGGAAAGTATGGGAAGTGGGGGGGGGGAAGACGAAAACCCAACAGATCTGGGAGAATATTGGGCATAGTTGCATTTCTGTGTACTTGTTTGTGTGTCCTGGGGCCCCTTCACAGGCGGGCGTCTCTCGGTCGGCGCTGGGCCCCCCTCCCGTGGCGTGCGGGTCGCGGCAGGGGCGGCGCCGGAGGCGCCGACGGGACGGGGGGGTCGAGCGCCGTCCCTAGAAGTCCGCGCAGACATCCCACAGCTTATGTTGTCGATGGTTGCTCTGTTTAGGGAAGGGCGAAAGAGGAGGACAAAGTGGAGGAGGAGGAGGAGGAGGAGGACCAGGGCTGCCTAAGTCGGTCTTTTGTCCGCAGCGCCCAGGGCTGCCTTGGGGTAGCATCCGCGGTGCGCTGGGTCCGCCGAGTCCGACGGCGGCGGGGGCCTAGGGGAGGAGGATCGAAGAATGTTGATTCAAGTTTGGCCCAGGACCTCTGAGACCTCCAGAAATTCAGGCCTCCCTAGCTCAAAGGAGCAGAGGGTACCGATACCGCTGTCCTCGCCTCCTTTCGCTTGTTCGTGCCTCCTGGGAGGCCCTCGTCGCCACGGCTGGATGCGCCGCGAAATCCTGGTCAGAACGCACCTTGGGAGAGGTCTGGGGAGTAGCGGTATCGAGACCTTTCTGTCCTCCGACAAACGATGTCCGAGTGGATGGGGCTGGAGGATCGTGCCGCATCGCCGCTGCATCGATAATGCGGTTCGATTTGGAGCCCGAATCTCTCCACGCCGATGGCGCCGATGCATCGCCGACGTCTCCGGTGCATCGCCGATGCATCGCCGATGCAGTGGCGATGCGGCGCGATCCTCCGACCCCATGTGCGCGGACCCCGTGTGGGAGGCCTCCAGGAAAGGCAGGGGAGAGCGAGTAAGCGACGTGGTCTTAAAGCCCCCCTCGCCGTGGTGAGAGCCCATCTGAAGCGTGGATCGCGGCCGCCAGCATCGGCCCGATCGAGGACTTGGCGCGCCGCGGCCACGCGCGAGGAGGCGACGAGGTCCCGAGTGAACCCAGCGGGCTGCAGTGATGCTGCGAGGTTCTTCCTCGCAGGCCTCTGCAGCCATTTTTTCACTGGTGGAGTCGCCCCCTGGGGAGTGCCCCACGGGGCATCCCGTTCTGGCGAGAGCCGGCTCCGAGAGGGAGCGGCCCTCCACTGTTCCTATCAGCGGGAAGGGGGAAGGGGTGTGAAGAGGCACGGAACCAAAGAGATGCCCCGCTGTGCTTGCGCGCTTGGTGGTGATGCGTGCGGAGGTTGTGCTGTTGAGCGGGAGGCCGTTTCTAGAAACGGGACGCCTTTGATAGGTGCGCGTGGCTTCGGTGGGTCGGCTCGTTCGGATGCGCGTGCTCAGGGCGAAAGCGGGAGCCTGACTCTGAAAATGGCATTCCTTCAGTTCTTCGTGGAGTTGTTGAAAGCGTTGCGACGAAAGCGCGCGGCGCTAACGCGAACCAATGTTTGAAAGAGGCTCCATCCTATACACGCGATTTCGTTTCAGGAGCGGTGAGAAATTCGAAGTAAAAACGCGTGACCCACCCAAACGATGCATCTGGCGAGGGGGAGGGCGAGGAGGAAATGGGCGGGGGGGAATTCCTGGCGCTTCGCGTAGCCCCACCAGTGCCGTGCGACACTGTGTTCTTGCATCGTAGCCAGCGTCTGCAGTCGTTGGTGGTGACGTGGGCCGCGCGCCGAGTGGTTCAGCCTTTGGCGTCGTCGGCCTTCGTCTATCACTACGTGCAGCTGGCTTTCCAGGCTGGTACACATCAGGTGCAGCCTCAGCTGTGGCGTCACATCAGGTGCAGCCTCAGCTGTGGCGTAGGGTTCTGACTCGGTCGCTCTGTGGCTCTCTTCGCCGGCAAACTCCAGCCTACGCCACACTGCGCCGTGCCGCCACCCCCCCTTTCTGCACTACCTGGCTCTTGCGGCGGTTAGCTGCACCCCCCACACGTGTCCACTCAGTCGGTGTGCAGCTGCCCTTCAGCTTCGTACCGCTGGTACACATCAGGTGCAGCCTCAGCTGTGTCGCATAGTATTGCCAGTCCTGTCGCTTTGTGGCAGCGCTGGCACACTCCAGCCTATGCCGCACTGCACCGTGCACCCCCCCCCCCTTTTCACTACGTGACTCTTGCGGCGGTTAGCTGCACCCCCCACATGTGTTCTCACAGACGGTGTGCAGCTGCCCTTCAGTTACGTACTTCTTGCGGCGGTTAGCTGCGCCCCCATTCCACACGCCCTGTCGCACTCTGTGGGCTGCAGTAGCCCTCCCACACCCGCGCGACACAGTGTTTTGGATTCTCGGCCAGCGTCTGCAGTCGGTGGTGGTTCCGTTGGCCGCGCGCCGAGTGGGTCAGCCTTCGGCGTCGTCGGCCTTCGTTCCCACTACGTGCAGCTGGGGCCCAGGCTGGTACACAGTTGTCTGTCAGGGCAGTTGCTCGGAGCTTGGCGCCGCAAGGGCGACTTACTCCGCAGCTTGCACCTCTGTGCGCTAGGTGCGTCCCAGTGAATGTTGAGCATTTTGCTCAGTGCACGTGCATTGCACGCCTCGCGTGGAATTTGCCTGTTCCGCCGTCCCGGACACGCCTGTTGCCGCCAGACCATTGTCGCGCGGCCGCCGACCAAAAAAAGTAGCCCCACCAGACCATCCACAAACGATTCGTAGGCGACCGCGGGACGACCACGGCACAACCGCTGGGCAAAACCGGGCACGTCGCGGGACAACCACGCCCACGCGGTTCGTTTTGCTTCGGCTGGGTCAAGCGAGGACAGGGTCACCCTCGCACTGCGGAGTTTCGCCCTGCCCGCGCGCGCGGCACGAAGCGAATGCGAAGCCGACGTTGGGGCTTGGGACCTCCAATTCGTTTCGGTCTCACCCCTCAGCCTTCGACATCATATTTGATGTTTCACGGCCAGAGCACTGAAACCAATTGAGCGACGGAAGCAAACCGGGGCGATTGCGCCGGCATGCGCGCGTAAGTTTCCCACGTGACGCTCGCGCAAGCGACTTCTTCTCCCCGCGGTGTGCCACGCTGGCGGCCCTGTAAGCCGCGGACTGAAGTTTCTATGGCATCTCGCGCAAAACCCGTCTTTTCATCGCTGAATTTTTCCTTTGTGGCACGTTTCGAGCCGGGTCGGTCCGTGAAGATCCCGGGGCCCGAGACAGAGCGAAAACGCTTGGTACGAGCATGGATGCGACGCGCCCAGATCCCATCCCCGACGCAGCGGCGGCCAGGCATGGCAGCGACGCTGGTCGGTCTCTTCATCTTCAACATTGGCCTCTCGTTCGGCAGCGTCCCCCTGGGCCGCGCGGCCGGTCAGGCTGTTGGGGGGTCGCCCACTCGGACCTCTAGCGCGTTGGAACATTCAGCGACTGTGTTTTCAGATTGGTCCGCGTGCGTTCGCCAGGCCTTGGGGCCGTCAACAAAACACCCTGGATCAAAAAACTGCCTTGGGGAAACAGCTTGGCTCCCCAACGGTACTTCATCGAACACACTTCAGGGGAATAGTTTCTACACGCCAGCGTTGCCTGAGAAGACACAGGGCGAACCAATTTCGACATGCGCGTGCACGGCACGGTACGCCCTCACGGCACGGCACGGCACGCACGAACGACATGCGCACGGCACTGGCATGGCACGCTACGAAATGCGGGCGTGGAAAGTTCTGGTTTTTGAAAGTCTAGCACGGCGCGGCACGCGGACACGGCATGCCCAATGCACGGGACCGGAACGGCATGCGGACATAGCGTGGCGCGGCACGCGAGCGGCACAATTTTCGCATGGGGGCACGCCACGACACACGCCACGCGGGCATTGCAGCTTTGGTGTTGCAGCACGTACGGGCACGGCACACGATACCAACGCCGCATTTTTCCATTCTAGAAGACTGGCACGTCACAGCACGCGGGCACTGCACGCCAGGCGGGCGGCACCTTCTCCGCACCCTTGAAACGCAGGCGCTGCACACCACGCGGGCACGGCACGCCACGCTGGTGGTACATTTTGCATACTTCTTTAACGCGGGCACGACACCAGACGCTGGCACGGCACGGCATGACACGCGTGCGGCACATTTCTTCGCACCCCACATGCACGGCATGGCACGCGGGTGGCACATTTTTCGCAATCTACGACGCAAGCGCGGCACGGGAGCGAAACACGGTGCGGCACGGCACGGCACGCAGGGGCAGATCTCTCATGTCCCAGAGCGCAAGCACGGCACGGCACGCGAGCTTGGCAAGTGTCGGCATCCCTCCTAGAACGCCGGCGCGTAACGGCACGCTACGGCACGCTACGGCACGCGGGCGGCACGGCTCGCGGGCGGCACGGCACGCGAGGGGCGCTCCTCTTTTTGTTCGCACTCTCAGAGACGGGCACGGCGCGGCACAGCACGTGGCGGCACCTCAGACTCGCATTCTCGAGCGCGGGCGCGGCATGGCACAGCACGCGGGCACGGCGCGGCACGCGGACGGCACGCGTGTCGCGTGCTGGAGCGCCGGCGCGGCACGACGCGGCACGACGCGCGCGCACGGGTTCGGCGCAGGACGTCACGCGGGCGGCACGGTGCTTGCATGTGCGAACGCGGGGCACCGCACGGCACGCGGCCACGGCAGGGCACGCAGGATCTGCGGCATGCTCGTCACAGGCACGCGGGCAGCAGATTCGTCACATTGTGTGGTTCAGACGCAGGTTGCTTGTGGGACCACTGGGTGGCCAATGCATCAAGTCCCTGGGTTTTTGGGCCCTACTCCCGGCAGCAAGCTACTCAGGAAGACGAGACGACCTTTGGGAAAGCCCAGGGGCCCAGGGTGTTTCATTCCCTTCTGGCAAAGCTGGGGGGAGGATCCAGTTTGAGGCTTCTTCACGTAAGCCCTCTTTCCCCTCCCCCCCGCCAGTCCCCCCCCGTCGCCCTCTCCCCTTCCCTCTTCTTTGAGAATCATTTCCCACCCTGCGTGGCAGCTCGGGCGCTAGAATACAGCGATCGTCTCTCGTCTCCTGCCCTGTTCCCCCCGTTTCCCTCGATCCCGCCCGTCGTCGACACATGGACGGGCACTTGTCATTTATACCCTTAGATTGTTCCCCCCCCTCTCTTTCCTCTGCGGCCGCCTCGGACGGAGCGCTCTGGCGATGCCTCGTTGTGGATCCTGCTCCCATCGCCGTCTGCTGCTGGGGCTGGCACCATGCGTTCGCTTCCTTAGCGGTACTGCGCGGCACCCCAAGTGAGAGTACCATTCCGCTCGCGGGCACAGCCCTGCAAGTTTGGTATGCCATGCCAGGCCCGCAGGAAAGCGTCAAGCGCACTTGCTTCGTCGGCCCGCACACTGACAAATTGGCCCGTCGTCGACGTATTTCTCCAGATGTCGTCGTTCAGACCAGGGCTCGCAGTTCGCCTTGCCCGCCGCGATGGCACTCACCCCGCAAAGGTCCCATACAGTGTCAGCCCAGCTGTAAGAAATCCCGCTTTCTCAAGGAAAGGCTCGGATCTCCCGCGACCGAGCGGACAGGCAAGGCTAACATTTTCGCAAGCAGTTTCGCGTCTAAATGGGCGGTGCCGCCTTTAGAAAATAATCGGTATTCTCCTCTTCCTCCTTCCGCTCCCTCCTCCCCTCGTCTTCTTCCTCCTCTCCGCCTCCAGGTTGCACGGAAGATTTTGCACGATCTTCGCATTGATAGTGGCACAGGTCCTGATTTGGTACCCGCTCGCGTCTTGCAGCGATGCTGCGCACCCCTCCGCCGTTCGCTGTGAGGGAAAAGGGGCCCCGAGGAAAACGGGCCCTAGACACCGGGGCGCTCCCCGGCCCAGAGCCTGAAGCCTTGGACCGCCGCCACCCCCAGGGGAATGCTGGAGCCATCTCGGACCCCGAAGCCCACAAGGGGCATCTCCATCTCCAGCGTCTTCGGTGATGCTGAGCTGTCGTCGCCATCCTCACATGGGCCCCCCCCACCCCTGGAACAAGAGGTCGGTGCCGTCGCACGCCCTCCTGGCCATCTTTGGTGACCTTGCGCAGCCGGCTCCCTCCCCATGTGCCACGGGCGCCCTTGCACACCGAACTCGGTGGCGGGGTCGGCTAATCCATTCGTTCTGGGGTTGCCGCTGCCTCGCGAGATTGGCCCACATGACACCGAGAAGCCCCAAAGTTCGCTATCCTCCTTCCTTTTGTACGAATGCCATGCATCCTGCAGCCACCCTGCGCTGGCACAGAGCGTTCCAGAAACGGCCTAGCCTTCGGCTTCTTGGTGGAAGCCAGCGGAAGTGACACGGAGGCGGAGGTCAGTGCCGTATCGGCGTGGCGGCAGCGCGGGAGCGGGAGGGTCTTGATCGAGGGATCCCGGACAGTGTTCTTGACAAGCTTTGGGGGCCCCGTTGGTGGAGACCGGTTGAAGATTGAGCGGCTCGCGCTGTGGCAGGAGCCGGAGCCGCCTTGGTTGGTCGTGGCGACAGCTCGCTGCATCCCGCTAGCACCTGCCTTCGGCGTTGCGCATTGCGTCTGCATGGCATCTTCCCCGGCAGCCGTCCAGGGCAGCCAGGTACGCAGCTAAAGATTCCGCTTGTTGCGCGTTGGCGGGATCGCGGCCACGCGACGCGTCGGAGGCAGTCGGAGAGTCGAAGGGACGTCCCGAGCGCCGCTACGAGGAAAACAAACATTGTCCTCCAGCATCCGCGTGACAGCACCACAGAGAGTACTGCGGCGGGGCACGCTTACTTCAATTACCACCAGACGTTGCAGATGGGGAGTCTGGATGGAAGCAGACGTATGCAGTGAGGGAAGCACAATAGTTCACGCACACACACCACCACCAACAACATTAACAACCATAACAACAACAACAACAACAACAACAACAGCAACAGCAACAGCAACAGCAACAGCAACAGCAACAGCAACAGCAACCGCAGCAGCAACTGCAGCAACAGCAATCAATGTAAGACTTTTCGTTCTTACCTGCTCGCGTGCCATTCAACGCGTGTGTCCCGAACCCTCGATACCTGCACTCTTCGTCTTCGATCGTGCCCCTTGGGGGTATATCTTCCAGCAGGAGGGGGGCTAGGAGCAGAAAAGACGTGGCCGAGCCAGACGGGCTAATCGGGCGGGTAGCCCCTAACGGGCGGGTCGGGAAGGCGGGCCCGGACAGCAAGGACGAGCAGGCGGGCTATTGAAATGTGAGTCCTGCATGGATCGCGAAATGAATCGTACGAGACGCCAGAGCGAGAGCGCGATTTATGAGTGTCGAGGGCCGGGCGTTGTAATAAATTACGAGGAAGTACACGCGAGGGCTCGATTCCTGCATAAAGCGTGCGACAGGCGACAGCGCGACTTTGAAATACATTGGGGGGAAAGATCGGACGGGAACCGTTGTTGTTGTTTTTGCTGCTGTAGTTTGGGGCCAACAGCCCAATCTGAGGACGAAGGCTGATCTTCGTAGAAAGGAAGATGTTAGCCCCAGGAGGAGCATTTCAATCAAAAACACAACACAAGGTGCATCGGGCAGGGGGTTCAACAATAGTTTATAGGTTTTCTTGGGGAGTGAGAGTTCAACAACAATCATTTTAATGATGTTTGCTGTTATCCGCTCGCTTGCGACCGCCCTCTTCGTCTTAGATGGTACCCCCTTTAGGGGTATATCTTCCCGACCTGCCGCGTACAGTTGGCCCAACGCCTAAAACAGAGGAAGGAAGGGAGGAGGGAAGAAACAAGGGGGAGGGAGAAGGAGACAACACAAGAGAGATTTGCAGGAGGAGGGTTTGGAGCAGACGTATCAGCGGCAAAACCAGACGGGCAGGTCGGGCGGGCGGACCCTAGCGGGCGGGTCGGGAAGGCCGGCACAAGCGGCCAGGTCGAGCAGGCGGGTTGCTGAAGCGTGCGTTTTGTATGAGTCGCGAGGAAGTCTCGAGCGATAGCGCGATTCCAAAATTAATCATGAGAAACGCCACAGCGAGAGCGTGATTCCTGAGTCTCGGGGGCGCGGCGTTTGAAGTAATTGCGAAGAATTCCCGCGCGAGATCGCGATTTCTGCATGCATCGTGAGGAAGTCCCGCGCGAGAGCGCGATGTTGGAATCATTTGTGAGGAAGTGAATGGCGGGAGCCGTTGTTGATGTCACTCGGGGACCAGGGGCCCACATTGGTGAAATTGCGATTCTCCGAGTGACTTTAACGGGATGCGAACCCTGAGAGGGACACTTCAATTCCAAAAAAACATGGTTACCGGAGGGGTGGGCCGACAATAATTATGCTGCACAAGTAGTCAACAACAGTCAGTTTAAGATTGTTCGCTCCGATCTGCTCGCTCAACAAGAGCGGCGCCCGCCTGATACTTACTTCCTCAGAAGGCATTGCAAAATCGCGCTGTCGCGCAGGACCTCTTCATCATGTATGCAGGAATCGGATGGTCTGGTCTAGCCACCCGATCAGCCCGTCTGGTTCTGCCACGTGTTTTCTGCTCCTGGCCCCCACGTCCCGTTCATCAAGGGCTCCCTCGAGGGCGCGAAGTTATTCGCGCTTCGCGCTTCGCGGTCCTCGTTTCTCCTCCCCCTCCTCCTCGTCCTCCTATTCTCCCTTTGGGAGGGCGGCGCGAGAGCGCGAAGTTATTCGCGCTTCGCGGAGCGCGAAGCGCGAAGTTGGGAGCCCTAGTTCATCCTTCTCGTGTTCTATCCTTCTCCCGCCCCGTCCGTCCTTTCCTTCCTGTTCTAGGGGCTGCGCTAAACGCACGTGGCTGGCGAGAGGAAGATGTACCCCAAGGGGGCACGGTCGAAGGCGAGGAGGGCGGGTATCGAGGACGTGGGATATACGTGCTGGCTGGCACGCGAGCAGGTAAGAGCCAACCGTCTTCAATTGATTGTTGTTGTTGCCGTTGTAAGTCGGAGGCCAGGGGGGCAGTTTGAGGACGAAGGCTTTCATGGATTAAAAAACGGGTGCGGGCCCCAGAAGGGACAATTCGATTGAAAAGCATGGTGTGAACCAGACAGGGAGGATGAACGATAGATGTTTTTCAGAAATCCAAATTCAGCGACCATCAGTTCAAGACGGTTCGTTCTTATCCGCCCGGATGCCATTCATCACGTATATCCCAAACCCTCGGTACCCGTCTTCTTCGTCTTCGATCGTACCCCCTTGGGGCATATCTTCCTTACCTGCCACGTGTAGTTTGGGCAAGCCCTTAAACAGGGGAAGAGAGGCCGAGGGAGGAGAATGGAGCACGAGAGAGATTAGCAGAAGGGGGGCCATAAGCAGAAAACACGTGGCCGAACCAGACGGGCCAGTCGGGCGGGTAGACCCGGGTCGGGAAGGCGGGCCTAGGCGGTCAGGTCGTGCAGGCGGGTTGTTGAAGCGTGCGTCCTGCATGAATCGCGAGGAAGTCTCGAGCGATAGCGCGATTCCCAAGTAAATCATGCGAAAAGCAAAAACGAGAGCGTGATTCCTGAGCGCCGAGGGCACATCGTCTGAATAAATTACGAGGAGGTCCCACGCGAGAGCGCGATACGCACATAAATTGTGAGGAAACCCCTTGCGAGAGCGCGATTTGGGAATACGCTGTGAAGAAGTATCATGCGGGAGCCGCTGTTGTTGTAAACCGGGGGCCAGGGTCCCAGTTTGAGCCTTGTGATTTTCCCTTGATAGAAAACAGGGTGCGAGCCCCAGGGGAAGCGCCTCAATTGAAACAAAACACTGGTCACCGGAGGGGTGGGGATCAACGATGACTACTTTTCAACAGTGCGAGAGTTCAACAGCAGCAAGAAGTGCGCGTCGGCTGGAGGCGCTGCCAGAGGCGCTCAAGTCGAAGACCGTGTTCAGCTCGATGGGGCTCGTCCGGGAGGAGCAGGCCGGCCCGGGCACGGGTCTGCGCGCCTCGGGGGGCGAGGGAGCGGCGGGCCCGGAGCTTGCCGAGGTGGTCTGCGTCGACGCGCGCACGGCGGAGTGGGCCATACGGCAAGGAGGAGGAGAAGGACGAGAAGTAAGTGGAGGATGGGCGGTCAGGGATGAGAATTTCTGACGAGGAGGACTTGGAGGAGGAGGACTTGGAGGAGGAGGAGGAGGAGGAGGAGGAGGAGGAGGAGACGGAAGAGGGACGAGGAGGAGGAGGAGGCGGAGGACGATGATGATGGTGAGGAGAGGAGGAGGAGGAGGAGGAGGAGGAGGAGGAGGAGGAGCAGGAGCAGGAGGAGCAGGAGGAAGAGGAGTTGGAACAGCAGCAGGAGAATGAGGAGGTGGAGAAAGAGGGGAGAGGGTGATGAAGAGCAGTAGGCGGGCGGTGGCAGGCGGAGGAGGTGGTGGGATGGGGAGGGGGAGGAGGAGGAGGAGGAGGAGGAGGAGGAGGAGGAGGAGGAGGAGGAGGAGGAGGAGTATACGCACCGCGGGGGAGGGGGAGAAAGGTGGCCAGGGAAGGTGAGAGTCGTGGGGGAGCGGGAGCCAGCGAGGACGAGGGAGGGGGTGAGGCAGAAGACGAAGGGTGGCGGAGGGAGGAACAGGGAGCTTTGGAGATGGGGCGGAGGAGGAGGAGAAGATGCAGGGTGAGGGAGGATGAGGAGGAGGAACAGAACAGAACATGCGAGGACGTGAAGGGATTTGAGAAATAAAGAGAGGAGGAGGAGGAGTAAGCGTAACAACATGTAGAGGAGGATGGGAACGAAGGGGAGGAGGACGAGGTTGAAAGAGGATCCGCAGGATAAGGAACAATGAGGGGGACGAAGGGGGGAGCGAGGCAAGCTAACAGCTTGGTGAACGATTGCATATATGCGGAGCCAAAGGGTGAAGAGTAGGGTAAGAAAGGGAGGGGACGGATGACTAATGGCGACAAGGAGTTGCAAGGGGGAAAGGAGGAGGATGGGATGAGGAGGAGGAGAAGAAAGGATGAGGGATGATGAGGAGGAGGAGGATGTGTGAGGGATGACGGATGCGGGTCAGATAGGAGACATGATGGGAGCAGGAAAGAGGGAGTAGAGACGAGAGATAGAGAGAGAGAGAGAGTAGGACGGGATTGAGGGATGGAGCATGAGGAGGAGGAGGAGGAGAAGGAGGAGGTAATTGAGGAGAGGAAGGGTTAGGAGGAGGGGGGGACGATGAGAGAGAGAGATGAGGGGCGAAAGAGGAATGGCTGGAGGGAGGAAGGAGGGAGGAGGAATACGAGGATGAGGATCAGCAGACATTGAGAGCTTAGTGAGCGAACACATTTGCACGACATGTTCGACAGCCTAGCGGTCTGACCGGGCATGGAAAGAGGTACGTGGCGCCCCTAGGGATTGCCATCAGGCTGCACGGAAAGAAGGAGGGAGAGGCAGCAGCAGTAGGAGGATTGTCAGAAAGGGGTAGGCACGGTCGGGCGCGTCGCGCGGCCTTGTCACGGCTCTGAAAGGATGCCCAGGGGGTGCAGATTGGCTCGCCCACGCGTTCGCGAGAGTTGCCGCGCTCACTTGCTCATCCGCGCCAGCAAGTGGCACGTCAGGTGCCGCGATGCATACAATGTCGGAAGACTCCAGATTCTTGGTGGCATAAAGGAGCGGGAAGTTGGCATGAGGCTCCAGTTATTACGACTTGCGTTAATGGCTTGCACTGTGTATTCCCTTGCACGGGTTGGACAAGTGCGAAGTGTACGTGCTTATTGTTGTGGCCAAGAAGATTCGAGCACTATTGGAATTAGAAGTACGTGGCCTCTGTATGGAAGCGCTTACTCGCCATGGATCGTGTTAGATTGTTCGCGAAGTCTCATGGTTGGCCAGCTGGGGTGCCAGGCTCACCCGTTGCCTATGTTTAGCGTTCTTGGCATAGGCCATTATTTGATATCCAATTGGTCGCCGCCTCTGCGTATCTGCCAGGCATCTACTACTTCCCTACACAACGCCTTTCTCGTTGGCACGTGATCTCTCCTGGACTATAGTCACTCAGCCAGCTACGCAGGAGTCGGCGCAAGCATTGCTACACTCGAAACGGGGCAAGCTAGATTGCTCGCTACACTTCGAGAGGATGTCCTCGAGGTGGCGAGAGGATGTGAAGGTTCTGGCTCCTTAAGGAAAAGTGTATCTATATGCCAAATCATTCCCCAGATGTAGGATACGGATGTTTGTTCGGTACCGCTTGTTCTTCCAATCTTCTTGCGTTGATCTGTGTTTCCCGTTCCCTCCGCTGCACCGTGCGTCTTCCTCCTCCCTTACCCGCCTCCCCCCGCCCTCCTCCGCTCGCAGCCACCTCTGCTGCGTTGCCTGTTGCGTGCTGCTGGTGTCTCGTCTATGCCATCCGTTGCTGTTGCTGCCAACGCAGTGATCAGTTCGGTCAGCTCCTCTCACGGATCGCGCCACGTGGGGGGCTCCATCTACGGTCCCAGCAGGGGCGCGCTTAAAGCGTCTCCGCGCTGTTTTCGGCGCGCCCCTAGCGCGGACCGCAGCCCGCAATGGGCCCCGCCCCGCCCCCAGGCCCTGGATCCTTGTCGTTCCAGTCTTTCCCGCCAGATCGATTGTGGTGTAGTTGCCCCCTTGGAGGCGCCTCTGGTTGGCCACGTGCTTATCATGCTCTTTGGCTTCGCCGCCGGCTGCATGGCCACTGTGATCGACCTCGCTCCGTGCGGACTCGGCGAGACTGTGGAGGGGGTCGGGGCAGGGAAAGGGAAGCAGTTCTCCAAAGGGGGTTCGGAGCAATGGGAGGGCGCAGCTACAGGTGCAGCTGGCTCCTCCTCCTCCTCCTCCTCCTCCTCCTCCTCCTCCTCCTCCTCCTCCTCCTCCTCCTCCCTCCTCCTAGCCCTCCTCGTCCCCTCCCTCTCCATGCTCGTTCTTCCTCCCGCCCCCTCCCCCTCCTCCTGCTTCCCCCTCCCCATCGTCCTCCATTTCTCCCACTCCGTCTCCTCCTCCTCATCTTCCTCCTCCTTATCCTCCTCCTCTTTAACATCATCAGCAGCATCAACATCATCATCATCATCATCATCATCATCATCATCATCATCATCATCATCATCAGCATCATCAGCATCATCAGCATCATCAGCATCATCAGCATCATCGTCATCGTCATCGTCATCGTCATCGTCAGCAGTATCAACATCACCATCATCAGATCAGCATCATCGTCAGCAACATCAGCCGCATCAGCATGATCATCATCACCCTCAACGACAACAGCATCAGCATCATCATCACCCACCATCAGCATCATCATCATCCTCAACATCAGCATCATCATCGTCGTCATCATCATCATCCTTCACCTGCCCTCGCCTTTTGGGAGGTGGGTGGGGCGAGGAGGCTTCTGCTTCGCACCCCATGGTGTGGCGTTGCTCGTGGGAGTCTAGTAAAAATGGGGAGACAAGCTTTGTCAATAGGAGGAGGAGGGCAAAAGAGGGGGGAGGAGGAGGAGGAGGAGGAGGAGGAGGAGGAGGAGGAGGAGGGAAAAGGAGGAGGAGGAGGAGGAGGGAGGCAGGCTGAGTGCTGAAGGCATGAAGGAGCAACTGCTCTTCCGCGAAGCTGAACCCAGCGACCACAAACAATTGGCTGCGGTGGAGGAGTGAAAGGGGAAGCGGAGCACGAGGAGCGGCCCCCGGACCCTCGTCTGGTGGGAGAGCAACTGCCCCCCCCCTCCCCGCACAGATCCCAGGTCTGTTCGGCCCGCGCCGGCCACTCACGAGCTGATTGCCCGTACGCAATCTTCTCGATTCGATCTGCCCGCCCTCGGTCAGCAGCTCGTGTCGGATTTCCCCTTGTGGCGGCGCTGCCAGGTTCGGCAGCGCTTCCGCGCAGCTGGCGGTAGGCCTCCCCTGGCTGGCCCTTCATGGCTCGCACCAGCTCGGGGGGCCAGAGCCTTATTCAGCTCAGCGTCGGAGCACCTCCTCGACCTGCAAAGCAGTTGAACAGGTCGCCGGAGAAGCGGTTACCACTGTTTGATGCTCGCTCCCCCTGCACCCGTCGCGCCAGCCCATTGAGGCCCCGAGGCTTCCTGGCTCGGCCTACGTGCAGCCCGAATCTCGTCGCACTCCCGAGGATAGGCTGGAAAGTAACCCTGGACTGTGATTATCGAGCCCGCCTTCATTTTGGCGAAACTGTTCACTGTCCGCCTCTGGAAGTGCTACTCCGCCAGAACCCTCAGCGCGGGATCCCATCGAAATCACAATATGAGTCCAGCCAGTTATTGGGCGTTCTGGAGCGGCGCGCGCGGCCGCGCGGTGCTCTTGACCCCGTCGTCGTGGCATGAAGCGAGGTGGACAAATGAAGCGAGGCCCCTATCGGATTCCAATGCCAGCCCAAGATGTTGCAACATGAACCCAGTAGTCTCAATCGACTCCGATCGGGTTCTGATGCGTAGGGTTCAGGAAAGGATCCCTGGTCCCAGTAGGATTACACCACGGGGCTTTCCCATAGGACTTCTCCGTTGGAGCCCCCCTTGTTGGTAGAGAGGGCCGCCCTCCATCTGCGTGGCTGGTGCAAACCCTCCAGGTCGCACTAATGGGGTCTAACCACGAGATGTCTCGAGCGAGAACCACCGTTTGACAAACGGACCAGCCCTCGTCTCTGTTTTTTATGTGTGAACTATTTGCTACTGGTTGTCGACTGCCAAAAAGAAGCTGGAGCAGGGGGCAGACCTCGGAATACGGGTGCGAAATAACGCCAGCGGTGCGGGTTGTGCGTTATTTCGGGGGCTGGGGTGCCCCTCGCGACCGCTGGGAAAATAATGCGAGGTCAAGAGGGGCACAAACGGAATCTGCATGGTTGGGCGCAGGGTCCGCAGACAGAGACTGTTTTGTCGAACATCATCTACGCTCTAGCTCGGTAGCTTCTACAAGGCTGTCCAGATTATGTTCTTTCCCTGCTGCCCAAAGGGATACAAGCGGGCCGTTTGCAGAATACGGGTGCCAAATAAAGCCGGCGGTGCGGCGGATGTATTTCCCGTCATGCTCTAGGCCTCACGGGAGCAGAACAAACTAGCACGTCTGATCTCAAGGGAGGAAAAACCATCCCGACCCCGATATTTGACGTTTATTGAGTGGCGCTGGGCGTTGACTAAACAGCCTTGCCCTGTTCGATTCCTTCCCTGAGTGCGTTTACTGAACAGCTTCGCTTGTCGGGGTGCTTATGAAGGGGCGGATTTTCTGCTGTCTACGATTAGGGGTTGCACATCGAAACGACATGTGTGGAATGTGTGCGTTGTGTTGCGATATGGGCAGGGCTGCTGAATTGACATAATTTGCATTGGCTTGCCACGATGCACATCATCCTGCGTTGCTTTGCACTGCAGCGCGTTGCTGTGCATTGTGTTTCGTTGTTCGGAGCTGCTCTCTGTTTGTCCAACTGGCCGCTTTAGCTAGGCTTTCCCTACATCTTGATGAATACCAGTGCCTCAAGTCGAGACGTTGATGGGAGCTCCCGAGGGTGACAATAATTTCTGGAACTCTGATGATCGAGGGTGGAGGTCTGTTCGAGGATGGAGGTACGATCTATGGCTTGTTGGTGTTATCCCTCTACGCGTGCCATTGTTATTTGGCGTATCTAATGTTTTGGTCGGGATTGCGCTTTGTAGTTGTAACGCCTCTTAGGGCTTCTTGCAGATAGCTCATGACTCCTGCGAATTCCTGCCGATGCTTAAAGTATTCCTGAAATCCGAGCAGATTCGATTAATTCCTGAAGATTTTTGAAGTGTGCCTGAGGGCTCCTGGGGAGTCCTCAGAGGAGTTCTTGAGGATCCTTGAGGACTCGTCAGGATCCCTGCGGGTTCCATCGCTGAAGGTATCTGAATGACCCCCGAAGATCTCTTTGGATTTCTGAGGATGCCAGGATGCCTGAGGTTTCTGGAGGAGCACTAAAGAATTCCTGAGGACCCCGTGAGGCTTCCTGAAGGTTCCTGAGGATCCCTGAAGAATCCCTGATGGATTCTAGGAGGAGTCGCCAAGATTTCCAGGGAAGCCGTTGGATTTCCGAGGATTCCTGAAGATCCCCATGTCATTGATCCCTGAGTGATTCCTGAAGGATAAGGATTCCCGAATAATTCCCGGGAGATCCTTTGGATTCTTGAAATATCCGGAAGATCCCAAGTTATTCCTGAGGATGCCCAGAGGATTCTTGAACGATTCCAACGGATTCTGCTGGATTTCTGACAGTCTCTCCGCATTCGTAACGTTTGCGGAGAAATCTTGAACATTCCAGAGAGAATACAGAAAGAGAGAGAGAGAGAGAGAGACGGACAGGCAGAGAGAGAGAAAGAGAGAGAGAGAGAGACAGAGAGAGATTTCGACAGGACGCCTGTGGATTCCGCCGGATATTTCGGAATGATGCCTAACAAGTTCGCTTGGATTGGTATGAGGAGTCCTGCGGATTCCTGGAGGATTCCTGACGATGATTGCAGGATTCCTTAAGCAATCCTGCGGGTTCCTGTGGAAATGACTGCGGAAGAGTATTGCAGGATTCCTGTGGGGATGCCTACGGACTCTTGAGGACTCGTGGCTCCCACCGCCCCCCTGCCCCCCGAGAAATTATTTTGTTCATTGGGGTGCTAAGGATATCGCTCGGCGGTCCCCCCCTTCGAAAATTGATTATTTGTGGTGCTAGGGGCAATAGGGGGCATCGATATCGGGAGATCCCGGTCAGCGCGCAGGAAATACATTGGGTGTGAAGAAACGTGCATTTTGGCAATACGTTTTGGAGCAAAGGTTGGCATGTTCGGGGGTAGGGCCCTCTAGGAATTGTTTGGGCCCACGTTCTCGTATTCGGATGGCCCCCACGTTCATCTTCCCAGCGTCAGCTTCCACCCGAGAGAAGGGCGAGGACGGGGTGGGGGAGGAAGAGTCCGGAGGAGGAGGCGAGAGGAGGCTTTCTCACAGGAGCCGCAATAACCATAGCGGTCAGCTGAAAAAGGCGCCAGGCGAGTGATAGCTAGCGCGCGCTCGAGTGGCCCCAAGGACGCCCATTGCATCGCCATGCAGAGGGAGAGAGTGAAACCCATAGATGCCAGCTGTGGGCTTCCTACCGCCGCCTTCTGGGAAGGGCCGGAGCTGGCAGCGCGGGCGCCTGTTGCCCTGGAGTGCCAACCAAGGGTGATTGCAGGCCCCCTCTTTTCCCTCCCCCTCCTCCTTCTCCTCCTCCTCCTCCTCTCCCTCCTCCTCCTCCTCCTCCTCCTCCTCCTCCTTCTCCTCTTCTTCCTCCTCCTCCTCCTCCTCCTCCCTCTCCTCCTCCTACTCCTCCTCCTCCTCATTCTCCTCCTCCTCCTCCCCCATCCTCCTCCTCCTCCTCTCCCATCGGTCGGACCAGCTGCTGGGCACCAGAACCAGGAAAGGGCCTGAACAGTCAGATGGCCACTCATATTCGGATAGCCACCATGGGATAGGGGCGTGCCGTAGCTGAAGAGTGGAGTGGCCTTTACTGAGGTGGGTACCCAGCCAGAGAAAGAACATATGCTGAAGGAAGTTTGCTTAGCTTGCTGTCGACCCGCACTCCAGGTCTGGGCGGCTTCTTGAAACATAAGTTGTGATACATGGTATCGTGCAAAATCCGAGGGATCTTCTGTAACATCATTCTCTATGCAAGAGCCTTTTTTATTGCATCCGCTTGCAGTCCTGGGAGCCTCCCCAGGACGCGAGTCATCCTCTCAGTCAGTCTCACTTGCGCGAGGAGCGGGGAGTGCAGACGACGGGCACTAGAGAGACCGACTGCTGCGGTGCCTGCCTGGGGCCTGTCCGTGACTCGGGCGAGCTCCGCCACGGGGTGAGCAGGGGAAGGAGGGCCTGCCGCTGCAGAGGGACCCGGCGGCCCCTGCTGGCGCGGCCTGAGCATGAGCAGGAGGTGGATGGCCCTTGCCAGGGAGAGCCGTTCCGTGTGTGGTGGGGGGGAGGAGGAGGAGGAGGAGGAGGAGGAGGAGGAGGAGGAGGAGGAGGAGGAGGAGGAGGAGGAGGAGGGAGGAGGAGGAGGAGGAGGAAGAGAGGAGGAGGAGGAGAGGAGGAGGAGGAGGAGGAGGAGGAGGAGGAGGAGGAGGAGGAGGAAGAGAGGAGGAGCAGGAGGAGGAGGAGGCCTGCGTGGTTCTCTTGGGAGGCCTATCTGGGGCCTCTGGGAAGGCGAGAGAGAGCAGGACCTGACCTCGCCGCTGGGGGGAAGTCCCCTGCCGGCGCCGTGGCATCGAGGCGGTTGGCGCACGGCTCGCCGTGGCAGGGGGCGAGTTCCTGGCCGACGCCGCGGTCTGAAAAGCAGGGCCGTGTGGGCCGCGCGGCGAGGAAGAGGGGGACGGCTGGGGGGGGCGTGCGATGGAGGACAGCGTCCCAGCTCATGTTCTCGTCCAGGGCGTCCCCGTTCGGGGCGAGAAGAGGGCGGGGAGGAGGAGAGCGGGAAGGGGGGGAGCGAGGGAGAAGGAAGCATGGGGAGGAGGGGACGGGGACGGCGAGGGCCAGGGGAAAGGAACAGGAGGGAGGGAAGGAGGGAGGAGGCGTGGGAGGGAGGGAGGAGGAGGGTTGGGTCGGACGAAGCCTCAGGAGGTTGGGAATGGGGGGTACGAAATCTGCTACATGCAGCCAAGATCGGCCCCGCAGCTGGGGCTTTCCCTGATCTTTGGCCGCCTCCAGCGCCAGGATACCCTGGGAAGACCAGACACGTGAATTGATGCGCTACCCCCCCTCCCCGTGGTATCCCCCCATTCGTCCGACCAGCAGACGGTGTCAAGTATCGCATCCAATCGTCAGCATTGCTCGCGCCAGTCGTGATTTCTGGCACACGTGCACTAAGGAGGGAGAGCATGATGCAGGAGGCGAGCGCGATACCACTTTGCGCGGCTGCCTCCTTGTTGCCCCCCATATCTCGGTATCGTTTATCCGACCCCATCCCATCTCCATCTCCTTCGAGACCCCCACAAATTACCACCCCAGTTGAGGATACAACCCTCGAAACCCGAGGGGAACGGCCTATATCCCCATCTAGGGAGGTAAATCGGCCAAAGGTGCCCAGGCCACGCCGCTGAGGATCGGTTACATGATACTCACTATCCGAGAAAATCTTACCTCACCTCAACCCCCATCCCCCACTCGCCCTGCCGGGGAGGAAAAGCTCACCAAGGGGGAGTTCACGAGGATGGACTTGATCGTCTCCGTGGCCACTGGGGTTCTGCGGATTTCTCAAGCTTGTCTGGGCGAGTCCTTGGGACGACACCGTTCGTTGGTGTATTCGGCACTCCCCGGTCATCATCTTCTTCCACTTCCTCTTCCGCAGCAGAGAAGAGAGATAGAGAGAGAGAGAGAGAGCTACAGAGACAACATAGCAAAGCACAGAAGCGGTCCGAGCAGTGACCTACATGCGGCCTCAGGTCCCTGCCGCCTCATTACAGGTTTTGCGCCTCAAGCAGTGTTATGCTCAATCCAGCTCACCAGACTGGCAGAAGGGGCTGGACGAGCATACGAGCCCGCGTTGAGTAGTGATGTGTATGTGTGTTGTGTCGGCTCGGTCTTGCAGCACATCTGTTCTAACCTCTGCGCGTGTCCCCACCATCCCAGCCCAGGACCAGCGCCTCGCATTTCTTTTGTGCAGTATCACGCTCACTTGCTACGACTGTTACGGCATGGCTCGTCTGGGCGTGAACCACAGTCAAACATATTGTGTGGAATGTGGTCGGCGTTTCAGGCATCAGGAACTTGCACTGCACCTGGGCGGTCCCGAGAGTGGGTGTCGGTTGGGTCACTCTGCGGTTCCCCACCGCCAGAGCAGCAATGAACCAATGATCAGTCGACGCCGTCGTGGTGCTGCTATTAATTGGGAGTCGGAGGAGGAGTATGAGGAGGATTCAGCGTTCAGTCGAGCACAGGAGGAATATGAAAAAATAGTCAACCAATAGTCTGGGGACGATTTCTTGAGCACTTTCGAGCACTTGTGGACTATCTTTTGACTACTTTAATTTCTCGCCCAAGATCCCCCTGTAGGGGGACAGGCCCGACCCAGATTCAGCGGCGCCGCGCGTCCGGAGCTCCCCGCTCCTGACTGCCCTCTGCGCTGCTTGCCCTCTCCTCCTCCGGCGTGCCCTGCCCCCCCCCCCCCCCCCCGCGACGTCGTGGCTCCCTTGGCATCGCTCGGGCGTGTGCACTCTTCCCTCGGCGAGGGCCATCGAGGAGCACCTTTGATCACTTGGCGAGAAGCCACGCACGAAACCGGGAAAGGCACAGGGAATGTCAGGAGGGGAAGAAACACACAGACACAATTAATCGTCGATTTCCCGGAAAATATGGGAAAATATGGGAAGTGGGGGAGAAGACCGACACCCAGAAAATATGGGAAAATATGGGGAATCTTGTTATTTGTGTGTATTTGTGTATTTGTGTATTTGTGTGTGTGTGTGTGTGCGTGTGTGTGTGTGTGTGTGTGTGTGTGTCCCAGGGCCCCTTCGGAATGGACGTCCGAGCGATGGCCAGAGCTCCCCAGCGGCTCTGCGCCCCGCCTGCGGGGGCGCCTCCTTGCTCTCGGAGGCCGTGCTCGCCGGAGGCCTCGGGCCAGTTCCGCCGCCCCGGAAGGGAGACGCTTGGCATCGCTCGGGCGTGTGCATTTTTCCTTCGGCGAGGGCCATCGAGGAGCATTCTTGATCAGTTGGCGAAGAAGCCACGCACGAAGCCGAACAAAAAACGCAGGGAGTGGGCGTCCGAGCGATGGCGAGGACGGGAGGTGGAGCGAGGGGGCGGGGCGGGGGGGGGGGAGGGTTCCAGTCGGGCTTGTCCCTCTACGGGGGGGCCGCCTCCGCGCGGTGCCTGCTGCACGGGGGGTGGGTGATCGGGCCTGGGAGGCGGGAGGGGGGAGGGAGGAGGAGGAGGAGGAGGAGGAGGAGGAGGAGGAGGAGGAGGAGGAGGAGGGAGGAGGGAGGAGGGAGGAGGGAAGAGGAGGGCGTGGGAAGTGGAGCGGGGATGGACAGAACCCCCCACAGTGACACGTCGATCAGTGACTTGTCCGTGTTCGGTTCTCGAGAGGGCGCCGCGGCCGTTCTTTTCCAGGCCTGCGCCCGCCAGGTCTTGGGCCTCAGGTCGTTTTCACTAAACCACGTTTTACTAAAGGGAGGTCTGTCCATCCCCGAGGGAGGGGGAGGGCGGTGTTGAGGTGGGGCAGGATGGATGACTCCGGAGGGTGGGGAGCGAGGAGCAGCAGCAGCAGCATGCCACCACGTCCCCACCCCTTCCTCGGCGCACCCAAGGGGGGCCAACGGAAAGGAGGTGGTGACCTTCCAGGTCATGACTTGCCCTCCCACCCACCCACCCAAGAAAAAAGTAGAGGGAAGTACAGCCCTGATCGGAAACCGCTGAGCATAATTGAATGATAGTGGCAAGCAGAGGTGGTACACATTTTTCGAACACAGGCGAAACTCTTGCCCGAGTTTGATCAAGTGATCCGGAAAAGTTGATTCCACACGAGGAGGAGGAGAAGCCGAGGCAGGAAGAGGGGATGGTCCACATGTTCCTGCCTCGTGCTTCCTCGCCTCCTGCCTCGCCCAAGGTTGGGTCTGGCATCGCGCTCGGCTTCGCCAAGAGCCCCGCGTCTCTGCCCTCTCGTTTTGGCAGTGAGGGGAAGAGTGCGGGAATGAAAGGGAGGGCGGGTGGGAGCGTTTGCACTGATGTTCGGACGGAGAGATGGAGGAGAGAGAGAGGTGGATGTTGTTTTATACCGACAGGGGGTAGGGACGAGCAGCGATATATGGAGAATTGGGAAGTCCGGGGGGGCGGCTCAAAACAATAGGAGGGCCAGAGTGGGGGCGGGCGGAGAAAGAGAGAGCAAGAGAGAGATGGATATTGAGAGAGCAATAGGGAGGGAGATATATCTATAGAGAGAGAGAGAGAAATAAACAAATAACGAGAGAGAGAGATAAACATATAAACAAATAACGAGAGAGAGAGAGAGAGAGAGCGGGACAAGGAGAGAGAGCGAAAGAGAGAGGGAGAGACAACTAACAGCACGTAGAGGCAGGGGGGGAGGAAGAAGAGCGAAGGGAGGATCTGCTCATGCAGAGGGAGGAGTGGAACACATACATTGATCGAAGACGCCGCGAAGCACCGCCGCCCCCCTTCTTTTTTGAAACTCCTGTGTGGTCAAGCACTGGGCTGACGCATCGCTAGGCTGTTGGGCCACGCGCTTCCCTGGCCGTTGTGGAAACCCGTGGGGGGAAACACTTGGGGGGGAAGAGAGGAGGAGCAGAGGGATGAAAAGGATCAGGAAGAACAGAGGGCCTTTTGGGTTTGGGGCCCCTCGGGGCCTCCTGGGAGGCAGTCTCTGCGGCATCGCTGAGCAGACTTGGGGCCCGCTGGGGACGCTTCTGGGGCCGTCTTTGACGTCTTTGGGGCCCTCTTTGAACCGTCTTGAGGATATTTTGGGCCGTCATAGGGGGTCCTATTTGGGGCAGCCTGGGGGCTATATTGGAGGCATCTTGGACAGTCTTCGATTTTCGGAAGCTCGAAAACGCGATTAAAAACATCTTCTAACAATTTCAGGAACTACCTTGAGTGGGGCCCGCTTCCCGGATGTCCATTTGGAGCCCCCGTGGGGCGTCTTGGGTAGGTGGGCCGCTTGGGCCGTCTTGAGGCCATCTTGGGCAGTCCTTGGTCTCTCATGGTCCGTCTTGGAGGTGCACCCGGGCTATAGTTGGGCCCCTTGGAGCCATGTTGGCCGTCTTGGAGGAGTAGTGGAGGTGTAGTCGGCCTTCCTGTAGGCAATCTTGTGCCAGATGGACCGCCGTGGAGGCTTTTCAGGGGGATGCTGTTTGTTTCCGCGTGGCTGGAGGGATGCGCCGAGGCCCATTGGCAACCTTTTAAACGGGTTAGAAAGGCGTCAACGACGGCATGCCAGCAGCCCTTTAGAGCACATCAACAGGAGGCAGCGGATCTAGTGAGCTCTGGCATATCCCGCCACCGCGCCTGCGTTGTAGGTCAGAGCACGTTGGATGCATGTTGAGATCTATCTGGAAGCCTCTCGGAAGACTCCTGGGTGCAGTTGTGTTGTGTCTTGGGGCCTCTTGGGGGCTGGAGCTTCTCGGGGGCCTCTTGGGGGCCTGATGGCGGCCTCGGGGGCAGTCTTGGGGCGGAGGGCTCGAACTGTCAGCTCGTGTTCTCCCTCTTTGTGCCCTCCTGGGGCCCTCTTGGGCCGCCCTGGGGGGGCCTCTTGGGCCTGATTGGAGCCTTCTTCGGCCGTGTTGGGCCTCTTGGGCTGTCTGGGGCGATCTTGGGGTGCTCCTGGGCCGTCTTGGAGCGTCGAAGCAGCGAGAAAACTAAGACCTGTCAGCCCTTCATGAGGAATCTGTGAGTTGTGCGTCTTGGTGCCCTCTCGGTGGGGCTAGTGGAGCCCTCTTGGGGCGTCTTGGGGGCTTCTTGGGCCGTCTTGACGCCATCGTGAGCGGCGCGGAGCGCTCTTGGGCTGTTTTTCTGACCCTCTCGGACCGTCTTGGGGGCCTCTGGGGGCGCTCGTGGGCCGTCTTTGCGCTCTCTGGCTTGTGGAAAAGTCACGCGGCCGCCCCCAGGTAGCGCACGGCAGCGCCTGGTAGCACCCGAAAGCACCCCGAATGATACAATATCCACAAGTATATACTGGTGGGTATTATAAAGACACGCTCGTATCTGTGTGTGTATGTGTGTGTGTGTGTTTGTGTGTGTGTGTGCGTGACAGCGCCCACGCAGCGCCGGGAATAAGAGCAGGAGGGGCCCAGCCTCAAGCTACCTCCTCCTCCCTCCCTTGGCAAAGCTGGGGGCTTCCGAAGCTACCCCCCCCCCCTCTTCGTCGGCATTTTTAGTTGGGTGGCCCTAGCTAGAAGGGTGGGTGGGGATCTCCGAAAATGGCAACACTTACGACCAATTGAGACGGACTCCAACGATGTCGGTCCCGATCCCAACCAATTTCGACACATTACAACTGCTCTTTATGTGTTTATGTGTTTCTAAAGGTTTCTTCGAGGTGCCCCGAGATGGGGGATAGCAAAGCCCCCGACCCCCCGTTTCGGAATGGGGGGGATGGGGGGGAGCGTGGGGACCGCGAAAGGAGGGGAGGAGGAAGTAGCTTCCGCAGGGCAGAAGAAAGGGGGGCGGGGGGGTGCTTCCGGCAGGGGGGGTCCAAAGAGAGAGGGGGGAAAGGAGAAGGGGGGGCAGCTTCCAATTCGCAAAAAGGGGGAGGGGGGGGCTTCGGGCAGGAGAGGTCTAAGGGGTGAGTAACTAAGGGGGGGCCCTCCTATGCTGCGGCGCTGCGTGGGCGTTTGTTTTGTTTCTCTCTCTCTCTCTCTCTAGTTGTCTTGTTGTTGTTTATACATATATATATACATATATATATATATGTATATATATATATATATATATATATCGCGTGTTTGTTTTCTCTCTCTCTCTCTCTCTCGTTCCTCTCCCTCGCTCTCTCATATGTATACAAGTAGAACGCATCCCGATATAGCATATCATACCAACGCATATCATATCATAGCACAGTACGTCGTACTACATCACATCACGCCGTACCGTATCATACAATGCATGCGTGACATCCCCATAGAATGACAGATCACAACATATGATTCAATGTAATATTTGATAACTATATTATATGGTATGCGAGTTTGCATGTTCTTAACATCTAAGTGCCACGAACGGTAACATGTGGTATGTATATACAATCCTTCGTGATGTAGCGTATCACGGATATATAGTACAAAGAGGCATAACACAAGACAAGCGAATACAACAGAAGCGACGCCCATACAGCATAACAAGACATGCAATGCAACAGTATGTTCCGCTACGGCATTAGATGGTGGAGTGTGACATGTTACACTAAATCCCGGTATGATGCAACCTCGCATAACACTGTACGTCGCACTATATCAAATTACATATTAATATAGTGCATCACAGAACGCTACTGTGCAATCATGTTGCATGCAGTATATAACCATGTAGTGTAAGTTAGTGCCATGTAATGTTATATAATGTGGTATGATATGTTTTAATGCCACGCCATTGTATATACATATATATGTATAGAAATATATGTGCGTACACACATATGTATAGATATGCATGTACCTGTTTACACATAGTCATGCCTATACACACATTAAGTTACAAACTAGGTATATACGTACACACGTATACACTAATTTTCTATATATATATATATATACACATTTGTATACAACACACATGCCAGAAACTGGGCCCCGGGGGGGCCGAGGACCTCAAGGCCACAGCGCACCAAAAACACCCTAGGTACACTAAGGGCCCCCTCCTCTCCCCGAGCCTCCCCGGGCCCCCCCCTAAGCTGCCCTGGGAGGTTTCAGGAGTATCAAAAAGCTCGCAGAGGAACCCAACAAGTTCCCACGAAGACCCAGGCTCCCCAGGAGCCCTACAGAGCCCCACAGAAGGTCCAAGAGGACCTCTGGACAGTTCCAAGATGGCTCTGAAGTGGCCCTAGAGCCTGGCAAAAGCGTTTCGCTCAAAAATAATGTGGTTCTGAATGCGTTTCGCTCTCTCGCCTTTTCGCTTCCGATCGGATTTTGAAGCGTTCAAATGATTCCGAAATCGTCCGAGACAGCCCAAAGAGATCCCCAACACGGGCCCAAGACGGCCCAAGAGGCCCCCGAGACGGCCCCAGGACAGCCCAAGAGGCGCCCAAGAGGACCCCAAGATGCTCCAAGAGGTCCCCAACAGGCCCCAAGAGAGCTCCACGAAAGCACCAGTAGGCCCCCGGAGCATTCCCAGTGGCCCCCTGAACGCTCTCGGCGCCAAGATGGCCCCAAGAGGCCCCCAGTGGTTTCAAAGAGGCCCCAGAAAGGCCCCCAAAAGAGCCTCCAGAAGATCCCTGATAGGCACGCAGGAGGCCGCGGAGAGCGGCCCCCGAGAGTGGCCCAGGAGACCGCCAGAGTGCCCACGCAGGGTTTCCAATCGGGCCATATCTGTCAAGAGCCAAAAGGAATCCCAACATGGTGTCCTTTCTTTTATGAACTTCCTACTTGTTGCGAAGATGTGGTCCCCAGATGGCCTCGGAGGCCAGATGGTTCAGAAGAGAGTTGCAATATTGCCTAAGGATGGCCCAGGACCGCCGCGAATACTAAGCCTCAGTGCGACTTGAGACATCCGCGCGTGGGCTTCAGACCAAGGACCAGATCATCCGGATACGTCCCCTCTGGCGCGCGACACGTTTGCCCCATGACAAGTAGAATTTGAGCGTGCGCGAAAAATGCGCGATATATACGCACAACACAGAGAGCGCGACAGATAGGCAGTTTTGTAAATGTATTTGTGTTTAGAGAGAGAGAGAGAGAGAGAGAGAGAGAGAAAAAAAAAAAAAAGGGAGTGGCACACAAAGACAGGCACGACAGAAAGACAGGCAGACAGAGAGAGGGAGAGAGAGAGCGAGAGAGCGAGAGGGAGGGAGGGAGCAATGGAGAGGACCGGGAGGCGCAAGCAGGGCTGGAGGGACAGGGAGATGGGGGCGCACAGGGATTTGCACAGTGATAGCAGAGATTGCCCGCCGCCGGCGCAGGAAGCGTGCCCTTTGTCACCCCTTCCCGCACATCGCGAGGTCACAGCCGCATGAAGTACACGCTGTAATGCGTGCCCCCCTTCCTCCCACCATCCCCACCCCAAGCGCTTCTTCGTGGCCGGCTTGCTTGGTCGGCGGTCGTGATTTTGAGAGGGAGAGAGAGAGAGGGAGGGAGGGAGAGAGAGAGAGAGAGTGAGTGTGTGCGCGCTTGCTTGGTCGGCGGTCGTGATTTTGAGAGGGAGAGAGAGAGAGAGAGAGAGGGAGAGAGAGAGAGGGAGAGAGAGAGAGAGAGAAAGAGTGAGTGTGTGCGCGCGTGTGTCTTCTTAGGAGGCGCCGCCTTGATCATCATCCCTCCTCCTCCTCCCCACACGCCAGGATTCTGTTCGGATTGGACTTGCTGACCATCCTCGTGGTTGGCTACTCCATCGGTCCGCGTCTTTCGATTGAGATGCCCTCGGTCAGGTTGCCCGCATCTGCCATGGACCCTCGCCCTTCCTTGGAGGAAAAAGGCGGAGGAACGAAACCAACTCCGAGAGAAAGCAAGCAAGTATAGCCCAACTCTAACCTAAGATTGTCGAGCCCCGAAGGCCGCAAGGGCGGCATGTGCTCAAAATCGCACACCTAAGTTACACATGCAATGTGATATTCTCACGTGCAGGAGGAGGGGGGCGTGAGGGAGAGGAGGGTCTGAAGGTGGCACATACAATTAGCAGCTGCGCTACCGTCTAGGGGTCACGTGCTGATCCCGTACTTCCGACTACTAGCTTCTGCCTTGGTGAATATTCAGGCGGGACGAAAGTTTAGGCCCATTTGCCTTTCCCAGTGGAGTTCCCTCGCGCCGGCGCGGAAGCATTTTCCATGCGTCAAAAAACAGACGGAATAGTTAATCCCATGGAATACACAGCTGTTGCGAATTTGTATCTCAGTGGAAGAATGTTTTTCTTCCGCCGCGGCTGCGCCACCGCGGCGTTTTGTCGTCTGGGTGTCGGAGTCTACGGGGGACGAGGGGCATCGCAAGATTTGCGATGTTCTCGCCTTGATTCGGCGTGGCAAGATAAATGGGCCAAACTATTGTCACGGCAGTATATAGTGTCCGCCTCGATATGATTTTCTCATCCGTCTCGCCGCCATCATCCGAAGAATGTGCTGGAAGATCGGCGTCTCCTGAATTGATGATGTACGTCCGTGTGACAGGCGTCATAGTAGTTTTCGATGCGTTGGTGGACACATCCCGTGGTGCTGGATTCATTGCTGCTGGTTCCAGCGAATCGCAACCAAACCAATTTTAAACTCGTGCAATCTTATCTGGGAAACCATTCGTAGTATTCCCGTTCTGTGAGCGCCGTGCCCAAGGCAGCGTTGATGGGGGGCCAGAGTGCTGAGGCATGGATTGCCCTTTGGTGCACTGGGCATGCGTATGTTGTGCGTTCCGCGCTTGCGCGCAGGTACAGTAAACACATATTACAAGAAACCCTGCGATAAAAATCTTTGGGCACACTCTTCGTCGATCTTTCAGGGTCCCAATGCAAGGGTCACGGGGCGAATCGCCCCCCTGCGATTGTCACTATTTGTTTTTTTGTTGTCCTTCTGGTGGTTCGTGTCGGATACTTGCTGGTTGATGTGCGGGCTGCCTCCGACCCCACCCCAAAAAACGAGCTTAAGCCCCAGCCAAAATTAACCCTAAGCCGCGCCTACGCCTGAGCCTCAGCCCCATCCTCGGCCTAGCCCCAGCCTCTGCCTCAACTTAGCCTAAGCGTGGCTTACGCCTAAGCCTCAGCCTCAGCCTAAGCTTCAGCCGGAGCATTACCTAAACCTGGCCTCAGCATCAGCCTACGCCTAAGCACCAGCCCCTGCCTAGCCTACGCCTCAACCTGAGCCGACCCTGCGCCTCAGCCTAGCCTAGCCTAGCCTAAGCGCAGCCTAAGCCTCAGCCGATCCTGCACTTCAGCATGCGCCTAGCCTGATGCGCGCCCAAACCTCAGCCTAAGCCTCGGCGCAAGCCTCGACCTAGCCTCAGCCGAGACCTCAGCTTCAGCCGAGCAGAAGCCTCAGCCTCAGCCTAAGCCTCAGCCTAAGCTTTTTCTAGCCTAAGCCGAAGCCGAAGCCTCAGCCAAAGCCTAGTTTGAGCGTCAGCGTTACTACTGCAACTACAAGATCAGGGTATGATTACTGTGACATTGTTCCAGCACGACTAGTACTAATACTAGTACTAGTAGCATCACTACTACTACGACTGCTGCTGCTACTACTGCTGCTACTCTACTATTATTACTACTACTACTACTACTACTACTACTACCACTACCACCACCACCACCACTACTACTACTACGACTACTACTACTACTACTACTACTACTACTACTACTACTACTACTACTACTACTACTACTACTACGACGACGACGACGACGACGACTACTACTACTACTACTACTACCTACTACTACTACCTACTACTACTACTACTACGACTACTACTACTACTACTACTACTACTACTACTAGTACTACTACTACTACTACTACTACTACCACTACTACTACGACTACTACGACTAGCTTTGCTGCTGCTGCTACTACTACAACAATATTTAGAATGCGATTATTCCTACAACCGTATTCAGACTACAGCAGCACGACCGTACTAGCGTGCTGCTACATTGCGAACGTATCACAGTACTGCACTACTCCTATAGCCACCACTACAGTGTTAACGCTACTACTGTTCTGGAGTAGTATTAGGACGTCCATAGAACGCTACTAATACAGTACTACTACGGCGCTACGGTACGAGGGTACGGCTACCTTCCTTGAGCGCTCACATGTTAGAGCTCCGCTACTACTACTGCCGGCACTTGAATGTTATTCGTACAGTACTAGAGTACCACTACTGCGGTACTACTGCTACAGTGCTGTATTACGACTGTTACAGCGCCACCACTACAGCACAACAGTGCTACAGTACCACAACAGTGCTGCGATACTACGGCATCGGGGTATTCCTACTTCAGTCCTGTAGTACACTCACTGCAAGCAAGGATAGAATATCACTCCTACAAATGCTGTACTAGAGTACTGCTTCTACAGTGCCACCTCTGCAATAAACACTATTCCACAATAGTACAGTACCCTTCCTACAGCATCACCATTACAGAACTACGGCTCGAGGATACTACTACTGTGCCCGGGTACAAGAGCAGTAAACTATTTCTACAACAACATGTAAAATGTCACTACTAAAGCAAACGTTAGAGTACGATATGTACTGCAATACCAGAGCACCACCACTACAACTACAGGATTACTTCAGTGCTGCCACTTCATTAGCGCAATACTACTCCTGGATCAGCACGGTCTTAGAGTACCACCAGTACAGTACGAGCGTACCACTTTTGCAACGCTGTTTCTACAGTGTTGTGCTACGACTATTACAATGTCTCCGCTACAGCACTGAAGCACCATAACATTACAATGGTGCTGCGATGCGACTGCATTGGGGTATCACTACTTCAGTACTGTAACTCGCTCACTGCAGGCAATGACAAAGTACTTCCCTGACGAATACTGTGCTAGAGCACTGCTTCTACAGTGCCACTACTACAACACTACAGTGCACAGCACTCTGCCTACAACACCACCAAATAACGAACTACAGTTCGAGCATACTACTACTGTACTCGAGTACTACAGTGGTGGACTACAGCGCGACTAAAAAGCAAGTGGTATAGGATCTGTACTGGAAGACCGGCGTCGTACTTCTACTACAACTACAGTACGGTTGCAGTGTTGACACCTCATTAACGCAATACTACTCCTGGCTTAGCACGGAAATAGTACCACAAGTACAATACTACAACACCACTACTGAGCTCATTCCCTCTCCTTCTGTCGGCAAGGACGCAGCCCCGTAGAATAAGCATCCCGGGGTCCATCCAAGCCAGTTCTCCCAGGATCCATCCATGCCAGTACTCCGAGCTGCGTCCAGCCGTGGTGACGAGGTGACGAGGATGAAGCCGAGGGCTTTTCCTGGAGCTCGGGCCCTGGACCCTCAAAAACGTACTCGGGATGAAACCTGCGTCGGATGGACCCCGGGAGGGCTCCGGGGACCAACTTTGAGCCGATTTCGGCCCCCTGTGCTGCGGCGCGGTCCAGGGGTCGAGCCCTCGGCTTCCTCCTTCCGTCCCCTGGGACTGGGGGACACGGAGGGGGGAGAGGAATGCAATCCAGCGCAATGCAATGTATTGCAATGTATTTGCAATGCCATGCGAACACAACGTGATTGCGATTCCATTCCAATGCAATGCTATGCCATGCAGTTCTATGCAATGCGATTGCGACGCAATGCAATTGCACTGCAATGCCAATCCAATGCTATGCAATGCGTTTGCGCTGCAATGCGATTGCAGTGCAATGCAATGCCACGGCAACGCAACGCAATGCAATACAATTGCAACGCAATGCGGTTGCAACGCATTCCAATGCGATTGCAATGCCCTGCGATTGCAATCCTTTGCTGCTGGCGCCTGGGAGGGGGGGGAGCAAAAACCAACAAAAAACATGTTTTTGTTTGGCTCCCCCCCCCCCAGGCGCCAGCAGCAAGGGAGGGGCGGGAGGTCCCACCCCCACCCCACGTGGTCACGTACCCGAGTCAGCGAGGTTCGCAGAACTTAGTTCCTCACCACGCGGCCATCCAGAGAGATTCGCACAGCGAGGTTCGCGAACGTTAAAAAAGATGAATAGCATAAAACGGGAAAAGGAAAAGGGGGTAAAGGAAAAACAACACACAACCACTCAAGGACGATTTGATGATTTTCGCAGAGGGGCGATTCGCCCCCGAACCCCCCGATGTGCCTCAGAGCTTCTGTATGCCCCCAGGGTCATCGGGAGATAGGAGTTGTCCGTGAGACACGTGTTGACAGGCCGGTTCTTTTTTTGACATGTTTTGGTATACCCTTGTCGAGATTCATTGTAGATCTAGAGCCGTCGACGTTATGATATCATTTGGAGGCTGTGTATTTGACCGTGCATTCTTGAGGCCAGTCGTGGTTATGTGGCATCCGTCGTGCCTTCCTCCTTCCTCCGCAGGCGCAACCTGAATCGCCTGGAAACGCAAGGCTCTTCCCTGCCGTGTCCCCCAACCTGAAACCTTCCACCTTCTCCACCCCCTCCCCCATCCGCTCGCCCCTCGCCCCTCTCCCTCTCTCCCTCTCTCTCTCGCTGCCCCCCCTGCCGCTCGCCCCTTGTCCGCCTCTCTCTCTCTCTCTCTCTCTTTTCCTGTCTTTCTTCCTCCCTCCCTCTCGGCTGCGCTTCTCTCGCAGCAGGGCCCGGTTCGGACCTGGGCTCACGACCACCTGGTGCGTCTGCCCTGCGGACGTGGCCGGACCTCGGGGCGGCGGTT